TAATCAACTCTAGATGGCAGTGCTAGCCTGCGATCTTTAGTGGATTGTAAGCCGATTTACTGCATAACTTTCCTTCTCGATTAAACGATTAAATGGATAATCGAGACTATGCTGTTTATCGTACTGACTTTAGTAATGATGACCTAGGCTTATGGGAATTTCAGTCGTCGCTTAGTTCTCGGTTCATAGTGGATCAATTTGAATGAAATTTTCACCAAATTGCCTTGACATTATCTAGTTTTTAACTATTATAGTGAGAACTGCCAACTCGTTACTGAATCTCCCATAATGTATCTTTAATTATTGGAAATCAGAAGCACATCAATGTTGATTTAAATTGACAAATAATTCGTGTTTTCAATGTCGAAGATTTTGGATGATATTGAGTTAGAGACTTAGCTACTTTAATATTAGATAATTAATAGAATCTAAATAGAATTAATAGAATATGATTATTGTGTTTATGCGCTTTATAAATGTTGATATATTATTGTTGTATTATATTATATCATTCCTGTCGAGTTTGATAAAATTAGCTTAGAGAAGAGATCTATACGCTCTTTAAGACCCATGTAACATTACCTCCCGCTTGTGTCGTCTACATGCCCCCCCCCCCTCCATTCTAAAGACCTCCACAAGGACCCTAATCATTAACATAACGATCTACATGTTAGTCTGGAAATAACCTAGTTGCTGTGAATTGAACACCAAACTCCATTTCTCTCACTCTAAGAATGATTCTTGGACTGAGTCATCCCACACTTACAGTCACATCCGCTACTCATTAAATGTGTATTTAACTTTATAAAAATCAATAACAGATAGTTAATACTAGACATGATCGTGTAGTCTGGAAGTATCCAGATCTGAAGAATTATAATATTTATAAGAAAATGTTTAACTTGCTATTATATCTATAATATGTATTGCGAGGTAGCATGGATCTGATTTATGATCCGTGTTTTAAAATTCGATTTATTTTATTTTCTTTACATTTTGTGTTTCGTTTTTTTATTAGAGTGAGTCCACTACCCGAAAGCCGGTGATGTAATTACTTTGTATAACTATAACATTTTGACAATGGCTATGGCAGTTTCATAAGAACGGACGGCTCTAGCATGGTGGATCAGCCGCTGAAAAATAGAAACCAAATTGTAAAGTAATATATAAAACAATATCTTGTTCAGAAAAAAGTGACGAGATTTATAAACAACTGAGCGGGACCTGATAGTTGGTCAATTTAAGCTTAGTCTTACTGAACAATCTAGACTTTTATTTGTGTAGAATCTTGTCAATAACTTTACAGGGTTTTATTAATATTTTAATATTGAGTCCATTTGCAAGCGTTATCGGATGACTAAGAGAGAGAAAAACATAGTCTGCCTCATGCACAGCACTTGTCACAACTTTTGGGTTAAGTTGAAAACGTGAGAAAGCACCGACATGTCATTACAGACCACACAAGAGTACTTTTATTTAAAAATAAAATCCAAAACACATTTTGATTCAAAATTTATTCAAATTAGCCAAATTCTAACTGAAGTTACTGCCCCTTTTCTGTTGTGTCAAATAAATTCATAATATAATGTTGCTACCCTTTCATCAAGCCAGTTTCTGTTTAGTACATATTTTAAGTAAAGTGAGTTCTAACTATCGTGCTAAAAAACGCTATAAGTTGTTCATACTATAAATAATTTAAACACATTTCGTTTTCACTAAAATTCTAATATCCGACGTTTCCTCAACGGAAATTTGTACGTATGTAGCCTGAAATTCCACCTAGATCACGGGTTTAAAGGACAATCAATCTAATGAAAAGCAGGTGGTCTTTTTATTCCGTTATTTGTCTTGACACATGGGGCTACCCCACTAACAAGCAGGTCCCTGGTTAGGTCCGGTGTTTGCCGAGAAAGAAGCCCGGGAATCTCTAGAAATTGTTCTACTAATGTCTTCCGTCTTGCCCCAAGCCACGGTAGTGGAGGGATCTATAGACTTCCTTTGCGCATGTTTTGTAATCATTTGATATCTGGCTAGATATCTGTCATAGCGTTATGTACATCATTAGAAACATCGCTTCGAAAATGTAGAACGAATACCACAAGAAAAGCTATTCGGTAACTATTGAGCGCCATGGAAAACGCATCACTTAGTTTTTCGTATAACAAAATGATCCTGTAAACATATCTTATTTATTTTGCTTCTTATTGTGAACAATATTCAAATGGGAACACATCAATAAGACACATTTGTACACTTATGGATGTTTAATCTGTAATCGAGGGTACAAAGTCAGAGGGGTCAAAACCAAAAGTACGACACAGATGTCAGTAGCCCGTGTGTCCTCCATGGGCTCTTACGCACGCTGTGCAGCGACGTCGCATGGAAGTAACCAATGTTTCAAAGAAGGCCTGGGGCAAATTGTTCCATTCTTGGACAAGAGCAGCTTCTAAAGCAGCAATGGTGTGCATCTGTGGTCTCCGATACAGACGGCGTCCAATCTCATCCCAGACATGTTCTATCGGTGCCATGTCCGGAGACATGGCTGTCCAGTCCAAGACATTGATGTTGTTAGCAGCCAGGTAGTCCATACTAAAACGGGCGGTATGCGGACGTGTATTATCCTGTTGGGAGTGCTGAAGTTGTGGGTGCGCTCGAAACATCGGAACAACAAATGGTTGCAAGACATCATCACGGTAGGCTACAGCATTAACGCGACCCCTGCAAATGTGTAGGGCGGTCCGGTGATAAAATGGGAAGCCTCCCCACACCATTACACTTCCCCCATCCCGTCGATTCGTTTCGAAGACGCAGCAGTCTGCAAGACGTTCCCCAAGACGTCTCCACACACGTTGACGGCCATCAGCGTGATAAAGATGAAAGCGACTCTCATCACTGAAGAGCACACTTTGCCAGTCTACTCTTCTCCATATCTGGTGTCCTTGAGCCCATATCAAACGCCGCTGACGGTGATGATCCCTGAGGATAGCTCTAACATAAGGTCGTCCTACTTCTCTTACGGTGTTGGCACGACCGCTGCACCTGTTCGAGTCGCTGGGCGGAATCTGTCACGCAGATGAGTGACCCGGATGTATCGGTCTTGAGCCTGGGTTGTAACGCGTTGTGGACCAGGACGTTGACGGTCACGTGTTGATCCAGTAACTCAAACACGTTCCACCAACCTTACAATAGTGGACTGATGACAATTGAAGTGTCTGGCAAAAGCACGTGTAGACATGCCAGTCCGGGACATTCCCATGGCTTCATTCCGTTGATTTTCAGTAAGTCTCGGCATCTCTAGCTCGGTTCCTTCACACGTCCAACAACAAATTACGACAGACTGGCGTTTCACAGTTCATGTACTGCACATTAAGTTGAAAACATGCTTTTAAAGGGCTCACACACATTGCTGCACGTGAATATTGGGTTTTTCATGTGCATCTCGTGCAATTTTTTTTTGTGCACACGGGCCGATATATTTTGCGTTTGGGAGCATTGTGTGAAACAATAGTTCATAGTATTGCATAATATTATACATACAAAACCATCTAGTAATAAAATATTTGGGAAAAAAAGTGATGCGTTTTCCACGGCGCTCAGTATATTTTAGTAAGCCTCTCTTTACTATTTGTGATATAGTTACTTATTTCAATTCAAACTGCTGTGCTATGTGTTAAGATTTCTGCGTTTGAAGCTATGTTTACTTGTGCGGGAAAGAAAAGACGTCGCTACCATATTGCAGCTACGGGAATTCCAGCCTGGTGACCCATTTCCGGAATATCAGAAAGCTACAAATTATCTCTGATTCCTGTATAATCACAAGGAGGATTTTCGGTTGCGCCGATTTTCGTTATGTTCTAAATATCTGCATCCGAACAATACAGACTAAGATTATTAACTGTTCCCCTGATTTCATGGTAGAACGAATGTAGTCCATCGATTTATAGCAATTATGTCGAGCTCCGCGCTCCCGCTCCCCACCTTTTGCATGGCAAACATTGTTAACAATTGTGTCTAGAATCGAGTATGTGTCGCGACAATAATCTACAGCCGAAGGTCATCCTGGGTTCATCCAATATCCAGATTTACATTGGACCAGTTACATATAGAGAATCTCCTACCAGTCTTTTTTGATGTCAAAAAATATCAACACAAGTTGATAAAGTAACAAAAAAAAGGGCTCTGCCGAGTTTTTTTTTACTTTATCAACGAGTGTTGATATTTTTTGATATCAAAAAAAGACGAGCAGATTTTATTTATCCCCCAATCCCTTCTTACATGCACAAATAGATAAATATAATTCTTTGCTGTAGATTTCACTTTTACTGACCATAACGGCGTAGTGATACATCATTTTTTGACAGCAATTCAACCATTGCAAAGTCCTTTATATTGACCCAGTTTTTCCATCAAGGTCAATTGAATAACAATAGTTCATTTTTAATAAAAAAAAAGTTGCTTTTAATAAGAAATGAACTGTTTTTTGAAAATAAAAAGTAGTTCCTTTTCAACTGACCAATCCTAAGGAGATATCGCAGTAGATTACGAAATATATCACACAAGCGATATCTACTGTAGAATGTATTATTGGGTGATAAATGTTCATTCAAACATTCCACTAAATTTGATATCAAATGGGCTGATTTTGCACAAAATGAAGCCAAAACTTCAAAACCCGAGCACTCGACACTCTTGACAATTTAACAGTATGGAAACTGTCAGAGATTATAAAGACCATAATGTTGTCTGTATCAAGATCATAATGTTGTCTGTTCAAGACTATAATGTTGTCTGTTCAAGACCATTATGTTGTCTGTTCAAGACAATATTTCTTTGTCAATAAAAGTAATAAATCCATGAAAAATTGATTTCACATTCGAGGAGAAAAATATTTAATATTAACTATGTACAAATGACAAAATATTGAGTCAAATTTTCACAAGTTCTACAAATTATCAATGAGCTGAAAATTTTTTTTTCTATCGATGACATGTTTAGCTTTCTTCTGATAATATTGTCTTATATAAAAGACATATTTATTTAGAGATGGGGAATTATCAGTTATTCATTATGGTATATGAAAAACAAATATTCCCAAACTGGATTTAAAATTTCCTCATTAAGAAACGTTTCTTCATTAAAGCTTCAATTTTTCTGCTAACCCTTTGTATATCCGTCTCTTCGCCTTCAACCACTCCCTTCTCATACGTTTCTGCCTTGTAATCTTTTTGACCCTGTACCAATTCACTGAAATTAAGACAAGACTATATAAGAACCCCGCAATAAAACTGAAGGTACAGTACTCTTACCTAAAACATACAGGTCCAGAATTTATAGAAATCTAACAGAAGTTATTGCCATTTTGAGTAGAATAGTGAAAATTGATTCTGCAAAGCTACTTTATATGTTGTGTTTTGAAGTACATGTATAACTAAGTCAAATTCATTTCCATGGAACCACACAAAATATCAAATCCATCAAATTTCTAACTAGCAAAATTTACGAGAACTGTAATACGTTGGCTTTTGTATAGGGTTTTATTTGAGATATGCTACCAAAATAAAACCGGGACTTAATGGCAGGTGGACGGAGCCCATTTGGTATGATAATAAAATTCGAGAACTAAATACATGACTATCGAGTCATTTTTCTACATGATAACTCAGTATGGGGTTATTATTCTTCATGTACATGTACATAATAACCTGGTTAAATTTATTTTGAAAATTGTGTCCATTTTTGCTCCTTTTTTGTGACAGTTTATATGTGAAATGAAACAACTCCGCTCGTTTATCCAGATAAACATAAAACCTCGTGATGGAATCTCCCTAGCTACGAGAACCGCGGCCTAGCTATGCCCTCGCCCTTTCTTTTACACTGGAATGTTCCCCCAAGTCTTACATTGCCAAGCATAACCTAAAGGCGGATTTTATTCCTTAAAGTAAAAAGAAACATTTAGGCTAACAAACTTGACTCCAATGTGTGTCTTGTCCGCGGGTTTGTCTTATGTTCTTTATACATATGTATGCGTGTATGCATATGTAGGGGATATTGAAATGCAAATAACTATGCAGGTTGTGATATGATAAATATACAACTGGCGGTAGTTTTTTCTTTGATGTCCATAGCAGCTATATCTCATAACAACCTGTCATGACGTCATCATAGGTTGATATATTCGTTCATATCAACCGCTGATGACGTCATGACAGGTTGATATTCATATCAACCGCTAATGACGTCATCTCAGGTCGATATAGTCAGCTCGTATCAACCGCTGATGACATAGATGATCGAAATAATACAAAGAACACAGAAATAAATTTTTATTCTTTTGACCATTAAAAATTGTTATGGTACAGTTTGTAACATTCCGGGCCGAAATAGATGGCGTACTTATCGACATATTTAAATCGATTACCCATACTCCATGTCTAAGATATCTTTCAGAATTTTCTTTCCGTCCACACACTCCTAGACTTGAAAAATATTTATCGCTCAAGAGTTCATTTATATAGTATTTTAAAACAGTCGGTCAAATCCTTCTCTGAACATACCGAAAACCTCCAATATGGGTTCACTGTCAGAATTCTTGGAAAACAATGCCTCTTGGTCCAAATTTTCTGCAGGCTTTGGATAGATCCTCGTCGATATTTGCATTCACATCTATTCCATCTTCAATATATTGGCTAAAAAGGATTGATTATTCGTCTGACTTCGTATTACTATCCATTTTGTTTTTGCTTTCAATTCAATAGTCCAAAATGGCGACGTATAAACAAAAACATGCACGTAATTGCACGTGATTACTTCGGTAATTTTCGCTATTTGGCGGAAACTATCGAGCAATTATCCAATCGTTGTTGCCTTTTAATGGAAGAGCCCATTAAATTTAAGGGTGAAATGGCGTTGTATATGTCGGATATAAACCTACTCTCCCTCTGATTGATATGGTAGAGAACGCTTGGGTAGGTTAATATCCTATACATAGTCATGGACACTTGACATGCTTTGAGAGTATGTTCACAGATGAAGAACTTATCGCCCAACAGTACCACTGAGCTGCACGTGCGACAAGCAATAGCGCCATACACGTGGGAGGGGTTCATTGTCAAATTTGACACTTCAAGGAAGGGTTGATGAAAACTGCTGCGTACTGATTTATTCTATCCATGTTTGCTTTCCTACCGGTTTTTGCATAAGATTTACTGTTTAGCGTATCTTTGCTGTAGTATGTTACGTTTAATTTGCAATGAGACGTCTTCAACATGATGAACGTCTACGTGCTATTGGCATGCTTCAAATGGGTTCTACACAGCGAGCAGTAGACACTTAACGTGTCACAGTCTGTGATCAGCAGACTGGGGAACCGGTACCAACAAACACACAATGTTGATAATAGACCTCGTTCAGGTCGTCCTAGAGCCACTACACAAGCCCAGGATCGATACAGGTGCTGCGAAGTCGAGGACAAACGGCCAATCAGCTTTCTGTAAACTTGTTCCAAATTACAGGAATTCGAGTTACACCCCAAACGATTAGAAATCGGCTACATGCAGCCCATTTGCATGCGCGACGACCGCGTGTTGTGCCAACATTAACTCGCCAGCACATGGCAATCAGGCGTCAATGGTGTAGGCAGAGTAGAAATTGGGGTAATCGTCGATGGGCGCGTGTAATGTTCTCAGATGAGTCCAGATTTACTCTGGATTTTGCCGATAGGTGTGCTCGCGTTTGGATGTGTGTAAATGAGCGTCATGCTAACGTTAACGTCAGACAGCATGACGATTCAGGCGTGGGTCTGTTATGGTGTGGGGAGAAATCACCATGACTGGCAGAACGGACTTGCATATTGTTCAAGGAAGGGTCGCTGGTGTGTACTACCGTGACCACATCCTGGTACCGATAGTTCTCCCCTTTACTCACCGCGCGGGTCGATGTTACATCTTTTAAGATGAAAATGCCCGAGCCCACCGCGCTAGTGTCGTGAATGACTACCTCCTGACCTCTCCCCTATAGAGCATGTCTGGGACATGATCGGGAGACGTGTTCGTCGACGTCAACGTCAACCGACAACACTGCAAGAATTGCCCGTGGCACTGCAAGAGGAGTGGGTCACATTGACACAAATCGTGCTTGGACGGTTGATTAGCAGCATGCCACGACGAATTAAGACAAACATCAAAAACGTCCAGTTTCGCTGTTGACAGTGTATCTCTTTGCGAGTGAAATGGGGCCGTCAGATAAGCCGCCCATATGAACTTTACTGTTTATATTCATGTGTAGTCAATTGGCCTGTTATTAATATACACTGGTTACCTCTAATAAAAACAGCAGTGTATTTTCGCAGTTTTGTATTGTTTTTGACTATCCCCTACTTTTTTTGAAGAGTTTGTTACATAAATCAGTCAACTGCAGTCCCATTTTAAATCTATCTGAACCGGGCAGGTAATAATGCTCCTTGATTTATAGTGAGATAAATACCAAAACATCACCCGCTGTGATCTAATATAAAACTAAAAAAAAAATAAATACAGTAGTTTTCCATTCAATTTTCTATTACGCCGTGTGTTTCATGACAACCTTAGTATAACCAAAGTAGCCAATCGGGAATTAACCAACCAGAAATTAAAACAGGGTTGAATAGTTAGACAAGCAGAGACAAAAATAAATCATCAATTATTCAATTGATTTTTAAATCATCGTGTTCGTTGAAACGAGAATTTAGTTGAAAAACAATTCACTATTCGATTGCTGTTACTTAATTTTATCGACTAAAGGTAGGGTCTCTCTCAATAGCGAAACACAGGTTTCGGTGATTTTGTGTTTGAGCTGTGTGCGGGTAGTCGAAGGGTAGAACCCGAGTTGGGATCCCTGGGTGTGGCGAATAGGAGTTTTCTTACCCGGTTCTCATATGCCAGGGATGGAAATTGAGAGGCTGACAACGAAACTGTGTCTTGTCGTTCGGGTTGTGTGAAAACCCGAGTTTTATCCATTTAAACAGATTGGTGTGTATGTAAACGAACCATTGCCAGTTGTATATGGAAGACCAAACAAATCTCGAATTTCTAAATACAAATCTCCGAATGCCAATCTTGTTAAACCAATGTCAAAAAGCATTTCTTCAAATTCATGTAACCTGAATATTATATATTATGACGACAGAGGTAATAATTATCAAACTCTTTATATAATTTTAATTCTATACAAAGTACTTAGAAGTTTATAAATAATTCGACATTGGTTTTGCAAGATTGGTATTTAGAGATTTGTATTTGGAAATTTGTTGTTCGTTGTATGTTTTTGATGAAATGTAACTGTATTTTTTTTATTTTCTAAAAGAAATTTTATCATTATAACAAAATATAATTAAATTAAACAAAGATACAATTTTGAAATCTGATATGACAAATGTCTGATTTGTAAGCCAAATATTGATTTTAAAATACAATTGTTAATTTTAGTAGCATATACAAATGTCGAAATACGACAACAAGCGAAGAAATAAGAATTAAGGACTATGAATTTAAGAACACTGAATAAAGAGCTGTGTGGCCTTCCATTTTTGTAATTCTAAGAAGTAAAACGGAGTCCGATAAAATATGGTGCATAAGACGAAAATGAAAATTTAGAATGAATAAAGTCTGAATGAAATGAAATCAAGAAGGATTATCCAGTGAAAACCGTGCCTTTAATGTTTCACACAGACTAGAAATAGTGAGTGCATGAAACTTAAGACTAGCAACAGAAATAATGGTTTGAGACAATTGACTAGATCAGTCTTGCGTGTCAACATCACTTATTATATGTTTTAATATTGAAAAAAAAACGGGAAAGCAATTGGCTAGAGCAAAAAAACAGTCGTTATGTAAACATAAAAGGTTGTGCACAATCAGAAACCATTACACACACGAAAGGATAATTGTATCATCTGTTCCACCCGCTAATTTTTTTATAATTTTTTTATTCACAGAACATGATTCGAGAACAGACTAGACCTTTAATGCCGTTCTCCTTTACAAATAATAATATGTATAAAAACTGTCTTCATGTATAACCGAAAAGATGGCCATGTACAATCCTCCCAAACATTTACGGAATGGCTATGTACATTTTTACAGTTTAGGGGTTGCCATTTTTATAATCTTAAAATAATACAATCTGGTCAAAACACAGATCCTTTTTCGTTTCTATTTTATAGTTCAAAATTTTGTTTTCCTTGTCTTTACTACACTAGGATCTGGAAGAGTTGTTATGTAGCATGCGTTGTGGTTGATGTGATGGATTAGCCATTGAAACGGTCTGTTGCGGCAAGTTCTTGGCGTGCACGGAACTGAGGATATTTCAATAGAAACATCAATGCTGATTCGTTAATCAAATGACTGACGGCATAGGTTCAAAATTCGCTCTATGACCCCTGACGCGACCTTCTACTAAACCGATCAAATCTTCACGTAGTAGAGGACATCGGAAGTATATAAAAAAACGAAACGAAATATAGATCTGTATTTTAATCAGATTGAAAATGATATTAATTGAACTTTCAGGAGATGTCGAGGAATGTGTGACCGTGTTAAATATGATAGGTGGGGGTGGGGTGGGTATTATATCTGTTTATTTAATATTTAATGTCAATATGTGTACAACATAAAGAACCAGTGGCTGCCAGGCAGGATACGCCCACATTTTTCAAGAGATGGATAGAGAACAAGCTAGACAAAAAGCGATTTTTCGTAACATTAAGGGCCATAATTCAGGAAGGTACCATCGACAGGAACCAAGATCTTTGGGTTATAAACATGCATTTCAAGTTTCATTACAATCGGATCAAAATTGTGACATCTAGAGGGTCCACAAACTTGATATACCAGATGTTTACACTATTTGCGTAGAGGGGCAACCATTTTGTCTGGCAGTTTTGGTCCGATTTTTATGAAATTCGAACTCAACCAACACTACGGTGTAACGGTGACATATTCGAACGTTTTTTTCAAATCAGATAATAATTCTGACCTCTTGAGGGACCGCGACCACAAGCTAAAAACACGTTTATTCGTACAATCAGGGGACATAATTCAGGAAGTTACGATCTGACATGCACGAATATCGAGAGCAACCAAGATCTTTGGGTTATAAACATCATTTCAAGTCGGATCAAAATTGTGACCTCTAGAGGGTCCACAACCTTGATATACCATATGTTTACACTATTTGCGTACGGGGGGGGGGCATTTTGTCTGGCAATTTGGGTCCGATTTTCAACCAACATCACGATGTAACGGTGACATATTCAAACGTTTTTTTTTTTAAATCAGATAATAATTGTGACCTCTTGAGGGACCACAAGCTAAAATCGCGATTTTTCGTACAATCAGGGGCCATAATTCAGGAAGTGACGATCCGATATGCTCGAATGTCGAAAGGAACCAAGATCTTTCGATTATTAACATGCATTGCAAGTTTCATCAAAATTGGGTGACAATTGTGACCTCTAGAGAGTCCACAACCTTGATATACCATATTTCTACACTATTAGCGCACGAGGGGCGGCCATTTTGTCCGACAATTTTGGTCCGATTTCACGAAGTTCGAACTCAACCATCATAAGGGTGTAACGGTGATATATTCAAACGTTTTTTTTTAATGGATAAAAATTGTTAACTCTAGAGGGACCACAAGCTTAAAACGCAATTTTTCATACGATCAAGGGCCATAATTCAGGAAGTTACGATCCGATATGCGCGAATATCGAAAGGAACCAAGACCTTTGTGATATAAGCATAAATTTAAGGTTGCATCAAAATCGGAAAAGGATTGTTGCCTCTAGAAGGTCTACAACCTTGATATACCACATATTTACACCATTTGCGTAATACGAGGGGAGGCCATTTTGTCCGTCAGTTTTGGTCTGATTTTCACGAAATTCGAACTCAACCATCTTTACGTGCATCAACATGTAGAGCTCATATTAAAAGGTAATGATTAAAATCTTCAAAATCAAAAACTTATCTTTATTTTATGAAAATAAGTAAATGTGTCATTATATACCTGAAATCCACATCACCATCACGATCATTATCTAATTTACTAATTAATTTGTCTAATTGCCAGTCACTCAATGGAATATTTACTTTCTGAAAAACAAAACAAAATATCAAATTTTAATTCTATGTTTATGTCATTGTAGCCAAATTAAGATACCACCTTTAAGAATTTGGCATTTAACACACAACACAACATAGTATGATATTTTGTATAAGCTAATCGTATAGCATGTTACAATTAATCGTGGCATATCATACAATCCCCACTCACGCTGCGATTATAACCGCACTGGGCCCTGTTTATCGAAATCTTAACTAAAGATAAAATCCAAGTTTAGTAGATACTTCAATTTTGATTGGCTGAGCACTAAAATCAACCTAATATTATCCAATCAATTTACTAAAATTTGGATTTTATCTTAGTTAAAATTTCGTGAAACAGGCCCCTGGTTGCGATTACAAAACATTTCTTTTTAATTAAGGATGTAGAATCTACACTTCTACATCACCCAGTTGAAGCCAAATACATAAAACAATGTTCAAAACAGTTTGAATTAATTAATATACCCACCGACATTTTGATTTAATTAATATACGTACCATCATGCCTTGTTTAAATTCTGTCCTAGTAACGCTTTTACTGGCATCTCTATCCATATTACTGAACAATTCTAATAAACGTAGATTCTGTAATCTCATATACACCATTAAAACTAGAAAAGGGTCCTCCGTATCCAGAGAATCCGACTTTTCTTCCTGGACTTGACTATCAAAACTAATTCCCTTCCTTAGAATAGGCCCGTGAATGAACTCTATGCCTCTCTTTTCTTTTAACTCGGCAGCCTGAACAGGGAAGCTCTCCAGAACACTTTGATTCTATAGTAAACGGTAAATACAGTTTTAACTGACCAAGCCCGGAAGCAAGGCACCTGGCAGACGTTGTCAGGCGAAATGCTTCGGATGCCTGACATTTATTGTCCTTTATCTGTGTTTTTAATTATATTTTTATAATAGATGTACGGGACAAAGTTCAAAATGCCAGGTACTAGTTCATTAGTGACTGACATTTTGTCATGGAACAACTACAATTATTATTTCCAGGCCTGAAAATGTTGTGATTCTAATTCAACAAAAAGAGTGCCACTGTTTCTAAAGCAAGTGTATAACACCAAACGAGAAGTCTTTATCAGCTAGCCCAATCAGTCCTTGTGTGGTGCACCCCAAAAAGTCAGAAGAACGAAAAGATCCTCAAGCAGCCTTGTCAAGGAAAAGCATCCGATCGGATGTGATGACAATCTCATGATCTCATAAGCGCAGGCAGGGTATAGTGTTCCTCTTCATTAGGCCGTTTTATTGCAGAAAAGTTCGACGTTAAACCCCATTTTATTTTATTTCACATGTATAACTTACCCCTAGATCAACGAGTTCTAGAGCCAATGAACTGTGTTTTTCTATCAGTTTGATGATGATCTCTCCTCCTCTAGGTGATATTTGATTTAGTGGTAGCTGAATAGGAAATGAATAGAAATGTTTGTTGTAATCCATGAGTAGTTTTAAGAATCTGTCCACCAATTGTACATGCATTAAACATCCAGATTATAGTGTTTAAAACAATGGTGGACAGATTCTACAATCGCTCAACAGCCAAGCCTGCTTGTTTTATAATATTAAAACAGACCACAACATAGTTATTTGAGTCAGTCTGGTTGTGGATCTGGTTCATTCACTCTGATTTAAATCTGGTGTTAATTTCGTTTTATTGCTGATGTACAATATTTTAAAATACAAAAGATCACGAAACGAAATTCTTATTCTCATTCATTCATATTGCTGCCTATTAGGATTTAGAAAAAGAGCTAGTCGTTTTTGCTATATAATAGGCTAGTTAAAAAATAGATAATGAAAAATGAATATAAAATGGAAATTTCATTCAGATTACTTTATTCAGAGCGAAGTTATCAGTGTTTGAAGTTGTAGCATAGCTTGTTTATTATCGTAGCAACGGTACTTGAAAATAGAGACTAAGTCCCAATTATCCATTTTATCGTTAAATTTGTACATCTCACGGGTGTTATAAACCATTTAAATCTCGACCATCCAATGGTCTACAGAGTAGATCGTAGGCTTAAATTAAATTATTATTTGGAAATTGTGTTTCAATCCATTTAAATCTCGGCATTCCGATGATCCCGAGGGTTAATTATAGGCTTGTCATGTGAATAAATGTATAAATAATAGTTTATATAACATTTGAACCAAAATAAAGACCTGGGCCCTTATTCACAAAAACTTAACTAAGATAAAAATCCAAATTTTAGTAATTTGATTGGATATTATTAGATTGATTTTAGTGCTTAGCCAATCAAAATTGAGGTATATACTAAAATTTGGATTTTATCTTTAGTTAAAATTTCGTGAATCGGTGCCCTGGAGTAGCGGTTCTTACATAATGCATCTTTAAGACAAATGCCCCCAAACTTCTGGAACTATGGAAACTATAGAAACCTATGGTTTAGGTTCCACATTATGTCCTTAATTCACAAAAAACAATGGATCGGATAAAAAGATATGTTTTACCTTGAGAGTTTTTAATGTGTTATTGTTATGAAACGCCTTCAATAATTGGCCTAGGCATAAATCTGTTATTCTGTTACAGGTCAAATCTAGTTCTATTAATGTATTGTTTTCTGATAGAGATTGACCTAAAGCTATACATCCTCTCAGATGAAAACCATTCCAACCGACTCGTAACACTTCTAACGTTGAATTCTCCTGTGATAATACAAACACAATTGACATATTAATTACTTCTATTACGGATATAAATTCCTTTTTGTTTTGTATTAAGGATTGTGTGGTCTTGTGGCGTAGCTGAATAATACTATATTTATGTAATAAAGACCAACTGTTTTATTAAAAGAGATTTTAAAGTCTTACCTTAAATGTTGCACCCAAGGCTATAGCACCTGCCATTCGTAGATGGTTCCAACTTAAATCTAGCACTTTTAGAAAATCATTCTTCACTGAAAGTAACAGAAATTAGTCTTATAAATTATAACCACTTAAAAAGATATCATTTTTTAAAAACTTAGTGGGCGTTTGAAACTAACTGAAAAGAGTAATTACTGTGTGAGATACAAACACTAAATATCTTTCATACACCATTCACAATTCATATTTCACAATTCACATTCACCAATCGCATTTACATTCACATTTCACAGTAATCTTAATTTAATATACCAATGTTTTGTTTTCCATGTATTAAAACAAAACATAGTACGTATCTGTAATAAACGTTATACTTACCTAAGCCTTCGGCAATAATTTTCCCTCCTATTTCCTGGAAATTATTATGACTTAAATTCATTTCACTAATGGAATTATTTTCCTGTTAAAACAAAATAAAAGGAATGGTCATCAAGGCGCAATACAATGATATTTAGTTTTATTATGTAAATTTTATCTGGAGTAAAGTTATGTAAATTTTATCTAGTGTACACTTATGTGAATTTTACCCGGTGCAAACATTATGTGAATTTTATATATATCTGATGTAAAGTTGTGTGAATTTTACCTGGTGTAAAGTTATGTATATTTTACCAGGTGTAAAGTTATGTAAATTTTACCTGGGGCAAAGTGTGAATTTAACCTGGTATAAAATGGTGTGAGTTTTACCTGGTGTAAAGTATATATATGAATTTTTCTTGGATTTGCGATTTTTGTGTAAATATAAAGTTGGAATGGATTTTACCTGGTCTTGTTATTATTGAATAAGTATTAAAATATCCAAATACCTCCAATAGTTCTTTAAAATATACAGCATCGTCTTCAGTAAAATCATTACCTGAAGAATGACGTTATATAGTAACGCTATATAGTAGACGTTTAGTTGGATAATTTTGACTTGGAGATTCCCTTGCTTAGCCAAATTAAGTCAACAAATATTCTTTAAATGTTTTTGTCAAAAGGTTATATGCATTTCAAAGACAATTTTATATGAATTAAATTATAAGTATACTTTATTTATTATTCTCATGTAAATTGTACTTTCATATATAACAGAAAGAGGTTATGTTACTTCTATAGCCATTTAATCTACACGTAGCTAGGGAATTATGTAATCTATAATCCAGTAAGAATCTATCAATAAACAACACACCTGAGAGATCAATGGTACGTATTATAGTATTATTCACCAATTCCTCACATAATGTCTGAGCTCCACGGGAACCCAATAAATTATTGGTTAATTTCTGCAAAATAAACAAATAAACAGTAAAGTATTGACATTCTAATTAAAATTAGATCATATTTTTTTCGTTCCAAGTTTGATTGGCTTTTTTAGTTTTTTTTTTTTTTTTTTGTTGCTGTTGTTTTTAAAACATTATGGAACATGAAAACGGTAAATAAAGATCAATACAATCGTGGTCTTAATCAATATCTTCAATCTAACCTAACCATAGCCTTCCCTTCATAATTTATTTACAGCATATTATAATACGCCAAACGTGTTAAGATGTGTGTGTGTGTGGGGGGGGGGGCATGGGTCCTATTCGCCTGTCATTCCTTCCTTCCCCGTTTTTTCCCGAAAAAAATCTCTCCATCCGTTCAAGATTTCTTTATGAAACGTTGTACACATATCAAACTACTGTTATGATTGCGGCCTTTGCCGATGAGAAATTTATCAGATTTTCATAGCTTTTGATGTTTTCGAGGAATCCAGTTTGACTTAGTTTTTTGGCGTATAAGGACAAGGGATATGGTATATACTGTGCCCGAGATCACAGGCTCGTGTTTATCAATGAGTAGCGGGTTGTCTGCCTATCCATGCGGGTTTTCTCTGATTTCTAAGGTTTCTTTACACTGGCAAAGATGCTGTAGGGTGTTAAACATCATTTCATTGTTCTCACTCTGAGCACAGCGCACGTTGAGACCCAGCTTTCCTAAGCATGAAGAAGGAATTCTCACCAATTCAATTAACTCTAGCTTCTGTGGAATTAGAGAAGCTATTATAGCTGCACCTCTACATCCCAGTTCATTCGCATCTAAACATAACGATTCTACATTCACATTTTTCTGAAAATATAAAACAAATATATATCTCTAAGTTCCAAGATACACGTATTTACAAACAACGAGTAATTATGTTAATGAAAGGAGGTCGTGGTGGCTTAGTGGCTAAGATGGTGGCACGGTACCCAGGTTGTCCTGAATTCGCTCCCGTTGTTGCCGGTAATGTTACTCGGGATTTATTTTCCCCTTATCATTGGTAGCGTGTACTCTTTTCGATATGATGAAATATCGAGGTCCCATGTACACGTTGGCGTACACGTTGGCGTACACGTAAAAGAACCCTTGCCAATTCAAATGCAGGTTTGCTGTCCGGGCAAAATTCCCATGTGCTAATTCAATTTCTTGTGCATAGATGAAACTAAGACAGGGGTGAGATCGATATGTCTCCTCTAAGGCTTTGACACACAGCTAGAGTGGGGATCGAGCATGCAACCGCTGTGTCATTTAGTTCTTGTGTATGTTCTATCTGATGTAACGGTTAATATTGAGTATATTACTGCATACGAATACTTACGACTAATGATATGGTACATGCTCGTGTGTCTTTTAGAGTTAGTCTTTGATTCTTAAGAACAATTTGTTTGGTAGCTAGACCATTGTATATATGTTTTATTGGTGTAAGCTTTAATTCTCTACATACAGCTAGGTAAGACTGTTGAGATACATTACTGGTATTAGAGTTATCCTCTGTGTCATCCTCGTCACCTAGAAGATAAAATGAATCAGCTATATTTCATTACAAACATGGGCGTGTCAGGAAATAGTGCATGTACGAGCCTTTATAACTCCATGAATAGGAAATGAAATAAAATCAAATGGGGTTTAACGTCCTTCTTTTGTGTTTCAACCGGTTTCTGCACCAAAAGGTTTCGTTTACGTGCACGAGTGAGCATCGGTTTATCGTGTCATCCGAAGAAATAGACGCTTTTGCTTGTCAGGCTCTCCGCCAGCATCACTGACAAGGGGAAACCAGGCTTGACAAATCACGAGGAATTTCGTAGCCAACACCATCTAACCCAGAACCGTCTGGTTAGTGGGAAGGCGCCATACTAACTGAGCTCCTCTGGGAACTAGTGTCGGTAATTTTAAATATAAGAATTCTCGCACCTTTTCTTGTACGCTTGTTACTCCAGACATTGTGTATTGGACTAAAGAGAGTGTGTCCACCATTATTGAAGCAGTTTCACATACACAATCGTCGCTATATTTAATTGATTTAAAGAGAATTGATGGCACTTTTAGTCTACGGTATTGAAAATGGTGGTCTTTCTTTCGGGATCGTAGAAGGATACAAGACAACGGACAAAATTTTATTTTCCCACAAAAATACTGAATGTTTGCTGAGTATTGCGTTTTCCGAGTTGGGGGTGGGGTGCTATTGAAAGGACCGCCATTGTCCATGGTGATATTCTGTCATTTAGTACCACATTCACTTACTGTCAAAATTATAATGATTGAACTCCCTGTCTAAATCTTCTGTATTAATCCATTTATATCTGGGTCTGTGTTCTCTAATTTCATCTAAATCGACCACCATCTCACTGTGTTCTTCTTCCCTCTTCTTCCTCTCTATTAGATTACCCGTAGTTCTTCTAGGGGTTATGGACAAACGATATTCTGTGGCTAACTTTTCAGAAGATACTCCAGCACTAGTCGCCCGAGGTAAACTCATATTGGATTAGATCATACAATTTCAGTTACAAACAAATGTGTAAAATACCCGGTTACTCAAATAACCATTTTCACAGTTTATAACGAAGTATTTGCAACCGCCTTACGATGTTCGTTTCCAGTCACATACATACGCACAGGTCTTCACAACGAAAATGTCAAGGTATTCGAGGTCATAATATTTGTCAGATAAGCTCAACATGGATTATTAGATTAACGTTAATCCATATGTTTTACTCTGTAACCCTTTCTTGGTAATAAAAAATCGCATTATGTAAGTAAGTATCAAATATTATAAACAATGGTATTTAAGTAAAATGAACGTAATTATCTTACAATCTGAGTTCACGGTCCGTGTCAATCTAATTACGCTTATATTAGGCAACACAAATAAAATAACTTGTTTCTCGGGCACCGCCCGCACGCAAAATTGGTTGCGCGTGCAGTCTATTTATTAGTCTTGATGAAAAAAAATAAATATGTAACGCCCGCCCGCACATCGACAAGCAAGTCGTAAAAAAAAATATCCCGCATGTACCTACATCCGCCATACATGTATATCTATTCAAATGTATTAAAACTGATTCAGATGAACATGCTGTCTTTTTTATCCGAACAATGGCGAAGTTTGGCAGATTTGCCTTTTTTATTGATATCGAAAGAACCTCCATTTTGTATCACGTGATATTAATTACCTCCCCTGATAAACTAGAATTTGATTCGTGTTAAAAGTCATTGGCGACAATATTTCAATCATTCGATCGTAATCGGCTCATTATTGCCAGCTTCAGTCGGTCCTTGTTTGGAAAATCCTATTGATAAAATAATGAACCGTAGAACAGGTTAATTAATTATAGCTAAGAATACGATACGATGACGATAGTCGTCATAATGCATACCTTAGAATCTGGGTCATTATTAGCACATTTACGGTAGTTTCGATAATCCGGAAAATAATAATTGGATTACCGATTTGATGGTTTGACTGACCAGTTGTTAGTTAGATTTAAATAGTCATTCAATATAAACACCGGATAGAACACCGAATATCCTGAGAAACACACCGAATATCCCAAGAAACAGTATTTCCGGCAATCTCCAATACCGATGACACGGTGTGACATGCATTGGTTGCAATTCGGTAAATAATTATAAATAAACCGGCGATACTAGATTTAGTTTTAAATACTGTTTACCATGATTATTATTTTTGATACACCTGGTGAAAGAGGCTTAGTTTTTAAAAATATTGTTGTCTTTATGGAGGGCTATTACATAGTCGTATGGAATTTTATTTTAAACCAATTTCAATTATGTGAATTAAATATGGAAAATTATTTTCCTTTCAGTCAGTGTTCAGTCTCAGTGTTTTAGTAGACTTGATTTTGGGTTTATGTTTTAAGTATGTACAATAAAGTTGAATATAACGGAAAGCAAAAACGTAAACAAGTAATGACTTTCTCATTTAAAAAAAAAAAAAAAGAAAGACCGCCCTCCCGCCCCAACAATTTTCAGCAATAGCCAAATTTTATTTTGCACCATCAATGAGTAAAAAAAAAAAAGAAACCGCCCTCCCTCCCTACAGTTTCAGCTGTCAGTTGCCCGAGAAACAAGACATTTATTTTGTGTGGCCTTATAGTCTACAGGGACACGTGGCAGAGATTGATGTAGGGCTATATTGAAATATTCTTTAAAATACAAAGTTTTAAGAAATGGCCGTTCTTCTTAGTAAATCATGTTAATTGTGGTTCCGACATGAACACAATCTTTGACTTATTCCATCCAAACGATGTTTCATTCCATCCAAACGAATAGGCAGCACTTTTCTTGCCCCCCCACCCTCCCCATCGCGAAATGGGATTGACAAATCTTAAGGCTTTTCCGGTCAACGCCAACCTGGAATACTCCAGTGTCCTTATCGCTTAACTACCGCAGCACCAAACGGACATTTTACCCATAAAGAAATATATTTAAAAAAGCGAACGTTATTGTGATATGTAATGGGTTTGAAATTAGAAGCTGGTCGGTCGGACCATAGTCGGACGTCCGCAAAATTAGCATACAGAAGATATCCCCTAAAAATCCCATAGCGATATGGGATCGAATGCACAAGCCCTGTGAACAATTCGGTAAAGAACTCTTGACTTGTTGAAATTGTGGACGAACACACAAGGACAAGTCCACACCAAACGTCTACATATAAAAATGAAGAATACAATCTATATTAAAGTTTATTTTTATCAACAGATATTTTTAACAGTCAACAATAATAAAGATAGTGTGGTGATTTCTAACCAATAATTCTTAACTCATAAAATCATACAATACATACTTATATAATTATAATTTGGTCATGATCATACATATTTTTTTAAGAATAACAAATATAGAGTGCATATATTTTTAAATGATACAATATATAATTAAATAATTAATATTTTGGTCATGATAAATAATATGTGATAGGTATAAATTAATAAACAAATATAAAATCTAAATATACCCAACTACATATACACTAATAATATTACCTCTTATAGAAAATAAATAACTGGATATATATTAAAAATTAAAAAACTAATATCTAATATAAATCAACATTTATATGGCAAGATATATTCTATGGAATACAATTACTGATTATTACCGACCATTAATTTTAGACTAGGATTATGAAGTCTTTATCAAGCCCAATTACTAAATGCCAATGAAACAATTTACTCTTTAAATAAGATTTATAGTTTGGTTCCAGAACATTGACTGTAGCATGGGTCCAAGTTCAGTGATGTATATAAACTGTCAAGACAGTCTGTTAATAAAAACTAAATACATGTATTTTTTTTAATATACTAGTAATCTGTACGAACCAAAAAAGAAACATATCACAAAAATACATGTATGGCAAATAGTTTATGATAGAAGGTTAATTGAGGTAAAATAATAGAGTATCTACTAAGTTTTTCTTTAATACATAAACGTAAATATAATGTTATACATGTATGTTAAACTATCAGATTTTACTTTAATATATAAATATAAAATGAATATGTTATACATAACTTTTACAAAACCGATTACATATTACCAAACAAACGTTTAGGTACATTAAATGAAAACATTCTTTTGATTTTCAGCATATTCAAACTTACATGTAGGACAAATACCAATTCTTATATTAAAAGAAATATTCAGTCATGGTACAAGCTGTGCTCTGATCGTGTTTGAGAATTTGTTTGAGGATAGAGGCCAAACTATGGATCTTAGGTTGAAGTAAAAAGACTCTTAGTATTTGTGTTAAACCAACAGACTTGGACGGAATATAAATTTTCAATTGACTTGGTTAGTAAGACATTTCACTGTTAAATGAGAGAGAGAGAGAAATGGGGTTTAACGTCCACTCGACATAAACTAGGTCATTTCGGGACTAACACATGGTTCAAATTTATTTCAATAATTTGCATGCGCGTAGGGGTCTTTAGCAGTGGGAGGAAACCGGAGGACCCAGAAAAAACCCACAAGGTTGGACAGGCGACCCTACTCCTTGTCACGTACAACCAGGGAATCGAAACCCTGCCAGTTGACTCAATGACAGACCATATGATACAGCGTGCGCATGTTAACCCACTGTTAAATGACCAATAAGTTAACTTGGTTAGTTAGACATTTCACTATTAAAGGACCAATCAGTTGGATCATTACTAGCACCAACTTCACCAATAGCAAACCTTCTTTCAGCCATGGCCTGCAAATAAAATATATATATCAATTTAAATGAAATATTTTCATATTAATTTGCATTTTACATAAATTATGGTTTTAAACCTGCAAAATAAGAAAGATTTTGACCTAGAACAAGTAGAATTCAAACTAAACAGGTGAGTAAGATAGTCATCCATTAGCCAGGAGGTTCTGGTTCGATCCTAGAGTTGGCTGCCAAGTTCACCTGGATTTCCCAGCCCGGTTTTTCCATGTCATTGGTACAGGGTGGAGGAACAATGAACAGTATCTAGTCATTCAGATACAACGAAAACAGGGGTCATGTGTACATTTTGGCTTGTACATAAAATGAATACTTGGTTAAGGGAATTTACACAATTTGCACTGTGCAGTAAAATTTCTCTCATAGATCTAGTTGGTGCAAAAAGGTAGGATGTTAAACCCCATTCCATTTCTTTTGTGTTATGCCAAAATCCGACACACATCAGTTTAGCCTATTTATGTATGATTAATTGTAGTTAGAGCAGTCTGTGAAATTACAGCGATAAAAATACTTAACAAGTAATGCAATAAAAAAGCCATTTATAATCAATTTAACCATAATAAATATCTATGATAAAACATATTAAATCAGCTATTAATAATAATCATGGCCCAATAAACGTGGATTAATGACAATTGTTTTTCTACAAATTGCTTTATCTTTAAAAGCTGACATCAAAGCTGTAAATTGCTATGTGATGAGCTGATTACAAAAGTAGAAGTTTAGCCTGCAATAAGTCCTACTTATCTACAGGAACTGGGGCTGATGAGAGACAGAGAAATGGGGTTTAACACTAGATGATTTCGGGACTAACATATGGTTCAATTTTATTTCAATAATGTACATGTGTGTAGGGATCTTTAGATTGTGGGAGGAAACTGGAGGACCCGGAGAAAACCTATGAGGTTGGACAGGCGACCCAAACCTTTTTATGTACAAGTGGGGAATCTTACAAAAATAATTAATGGAAAGGAGATGGGATATAACATCCTAATTTCTGCACCAACAGGGCTGATAAAAAAGGCTTACACAATTAATCTAAATTATTAGTTACTTAAATAAATAATGATTCTTTGCATTTGCCTTAATGTGTACACAGGACCTCTGTTTTTGTCCAATTCAAACAGCTAAGTTATTTTATTAGCCAGGGTGGAAAATACTGATGACTGCCTCGCCTAGTCCTAGGAAATTGTTGGTTAGTGAGCCAGCACCATACTCACCGAGCCACCGTGGTTCCTGTATGTCCCAAAGCTGACCTAAAGTTAAACATTAAAATTTGTCTTTACTCACCTTCTTCAGTATTTCGGCAATAGAGGAAATGGCTTCTTTTGGTACTCTTGGTAAATGTTGTAATTGACTAGTGTGTGACACTGGCTTTAAAGCTTTCCTCTGATCTTTTAAAGCAGACACATTGACTTCAAATCGTTTTGCTGGAGTTGGTTTCCCCTTTCGTGGGGATTTTAATTTTTTGTCTTTCCTTTTGCCAACTTCTTTCCTCAAATCCTTTATCACCAATGGTTGAGGATTTCTGGAGATTGACGCTCCTGGTAAGAACAATGGAGGCGGTGGAGGAGGTGGTGCTGAAGGTACTTGCTGTGAGTGAGCAGGTATCTCTAATTCATCTCTCATACTCCAAGCTTCCTTACTCTTCTGAACATCTGTATCTGAATTGATGATTTTATTCGAAGTGCTCTCAACTTTTAATTTACTTATGGATTTTCTTGGTGATGCTTTTGGTGGATTTTTGTCTGGATGCATTTGAGCATCAACTGCTTTGCTCCTTTTTTCTGCTTCTTGTGGATCACAACTATAAGTTTTATCTGTCTGATTACCGATTTCGCTTTTAGTGTCAACTGATTTCGAAACTTTACTGTCCACATTATTTAATTCATTTTGACTTTTGCTGCTGATATTTGAATCCATTTTTCCATATTCTGTCTCAATTTCAATTTTATCGAAAGAATCTTCAGATGACACCGATTCAAGTTCATCTTCTAAAGAATCTTCTGAGATGGATGTTATTGATGAGGTCTCCTCTTTGCTGATGGAGTCTGTGTATTGTTGAACCAGGGTTTGTAAATTGCCCGATTCTAGCGTAGAATGGACCAGTGATATAATATTGCGTGTAGATTGAATGTCATTAAGGGCTATACTGGGTATGCCAGCTTCTTCAAATAATGCCCTCCATTCGGAAGGAAATGATAAATTCTCCATTGTTTTTAATATGTCCTAGAAAAAGAAAAACATTAACATGAAAATATTTATTCTTTCTTTCCCGCAATTCAAGTATTCAGATATCCTTTGATGATCCGAAATGAACAAGCTGAGTTGCCTTAGAATAAAAAATTCAACTAATATTTGCTTAAATGATGTAAACCTAAACACAGAAATTAACAGAGGTGGACTTACTCTTTCTTTCACAATATTGCTACTTTGTATGCTTCGAAAAGAAAATAATATTTTTAAGAACTTAATGAAAATTCTTTAGAAAATAAATTTTTACAAGTTACTTGAAGATGCCATTGTATTAAATGGAGAAAATTCTCAGCTTCTTTTCAAAAAATAAAGAGAGAGAGAAATGGGGTTTAACGTCCACTTGACACAAACTAGGTCATGTCGGGACTAACATATGGTTTAATTTTATTTCAATAATTCGCTTGGGCGTAGGGGTCTTTAGCAGTGGGAGGAAACCGGAGGACCCGGAGAAAACCCATGAGGTTGGACAGGCAACCCTACTCTTGCCACGTACAACTGGGGATTCGAAACCACGCCAGTCGACTCAATGACAGACTTTATGATACAGCGCACACGCTAACCATTCAGCCATCCAACCCCCCGAAATTTTTACAAGTTACTTGAAAATGCAATTGGATTAAATTGAGAAAGTACTCAGTTTCTTTTCCACAAATAAAATAAATGATATTGTGAAATTACCCTGAATATTGGCCTCTGAGAAGGTTTCTGATGCCAACATTTTTCCATTAATTCTTTTAGTTCATTGGGACAAAAATCTGGAATTTCTGGTCTTTTATTTAGTCTTACTCGTTCCAATATCTGAAGAATAAAATAAGTAATATATGAACAAGAAAACCTAAAAGAGCAGATAATAAAATCAAAAATTCGGTCAAAGCGGCTTTAGATATGAAATAAAAAATAATTCATAAAACTGGATTTTATTGTTAATATTTAGTTGTTTTTTGTTGATTAAATTCTCTGTGCGTCATTTGCATTTTGTTTTAATTAAAGATGGTAATTGTCATTTGCATTTTTTAGAACAATATCTAGTTTTACAGGACTTAATCCATGCTAAATATTCTCTATCTCCAGCTAGATTAAAGTGTAGATGATCATTATATAATATAACTCCATAATTTTTATAAATCAAATAACACTATTGCTACAAGTTATCCTTACCTGAAACATTGAACAAGCCTCATATGGATGTTTTCTGGTTAACATTTCCCATAATATTATACCAAAACTATATACATCAGCTTTAACAGTTATTTCCCCATTAAATAATAACTCTGGTGCCATCCATGCTGGTGAACCTTGGATCTCTTTATTCTGTTTAGGTGTCTTTAAATCAGAATCATGTCTGTAAGGAAATAAAATGAAATAAAATGGGATTAATATTAACAAAGCTTTATGGCTATGGATTAACTACTCATGGCTTTATTTCATGCAATGATTCAATATTCTTACATGTATCTTTATCACACCACTACTTTTAAACGTCATTCGAGAATAAAATAAAATAGGGTTTAACATCCGACTTTTCTGCACCAACCCAGGCTAATGAAGACAAGAATTTGTTATCCAGTGAGTTGAGCGAAATTTTTGTTTCATTTAATCTGATTGAGTATTGATGAAGAAAAATGTAATTTTATACAAAGTTGTAATCCTACCCCTTGAAGTCCCAAAATACACCCAGATATCAAGTTTAAAACAGTGTGGCGGTCTTTAAGGTTCCCTTGTTAATTTTTCCGTTGATATTTAATTGTCAAGCACATGCTTATTTTCCCCAATGATTGGGATGTTGAATACTGAATATTCATTGAATATGCCGACTTACTTTAACTTTGAGAAACCAAAATCAGCTATCTTGGCTCTGTTTCCAGCACCAATTAAAACATTCATTGATTTTAGATCTAGATGAAGAACTGGTGGACGATAGTTATGTAAATAAACCATTCCAGCTGTAATATCTCTAGCTATCTGATAAAACTCTACATGATCTAATGGTGACCTGTAATATAATATCTAGTTACCTTATAAAACTCTACATGATCTAATGGTGACCTGTAATATAATATCTAGTTATCTTATAAAACTCTACATGATCTAATGGTGACCTGACCTGTAATATAATATATTATATCTAGCTATCTGATAAAACTCTACATGATCTAATGGTGACCTTTAGTATAATATATTATATCTAGCTATCTGATAAAACTCTACATGATCTAATGGTGACCTTTAGTATAATATATTATATCTCTAGCTATCTGATAAAATTCTACATGGTCTAACAGTGACCTGTATACTAGCTACATGATCTAATGGTGACACATATTGTAATATATCTCAAGCTATCTGATAAAACTTTACCTTATCTTGTAATCTAAATAAGAAAATTCCTTGCCATGAAAATATATATAATTCAGCAACACATTACCATAGATATAAAATCTTACCTGTTTTGATCATGTAATATTGAGAATAGATTGCCATTAGCCATATATTCTAACAACATTAGAGGATATTTAGTTTCTGTACAGACACCCAATAACATAACAACACGGGGATGACGTAGATCACGTAGTAAACTGACCTATAAAATATATAATACAAAACAAAATGAATTGGGGTTTCATATCTTATTTTTCGGCACCAACTGGATGAATGAAAACAGATATTATCATGCATTATGCTATGAGGGGAATTTTGTCAGACAGCGGTGCTACAGGCAATTCCAATTGTCAGTGGATCTTTAATGTGCAATCCTCAGAACTAAGTCCTGGTTTGTATGGCACCAACAAAACTCTTGGTATCATTTTTTATTATATGTGAATAACTGATGACTATTCAACTATGATGTAAGACTGTTTTAATCTTGTCACGTACTGGTACAGAGTTTTGAAGACTAAAGGGGAGATAACTCTTAACAAATTAACCTCCAGACACACCAATTCCAAATAGTATTACTATTAATATTGAATGCCAGTTTTTAATAATTTGTTCTAAACTTATTACAATCCTACCTCTGCTGCAAAGTAATTTTTATCTTGTGATGTTAAAGGTACTTTAAGTCTTTTTACAGCCACTTCTGCTGCTTGATACGTTCCTCTATAAACCATAGAAAATGCTCCTTCACCCAGTAAATCTACAAAATTATAGTGAAAAAAATTAATTATGTATCTTGGCACATAACTGTTGGCAATAAATGCTCTTATTTTTTTGTTTTAATTTTTTTTTGTATTCATTTCCTAATTGCTTTTGCTTTATTTTATTTCAGTTCACTATCTAAATTAAAGATATGAACTTTGTTTTAATTCCAATAAAATCTAATTTTACCTGATTCTTTGTATACAATATCTTCTTGGGGTATTTCTGATTTTTTAACAGGATCTTTATGTTGTAGTCTTGTTAACTCTGATTGTAAATGTCTGTAAAACATAATGTTTAAAGAGCTGTTAACTCATTAAATATCTTAACCGGTTGGTAAAATATTATTATTGATTCACCATTATATGATTATACACCTACTGTACATTAGTACACATGTTCCATAAGAATGTCTTATAGTTTATTATTATAGTTTATTAAGAAAGGAGAAAAACGGCAAAAACTAAGCGGTGAGGTAGGTAGAAGGATTCTGTGTGGCAACTGTCTTCTTGAGGATCTGAATATACTTCGCGGATCAGTAAGTAATCTAAGAATAAGTAAGTAAAGGATCCCCTAACCCAGAGAGAGAGAAATGGGTTTAACGTCCACTCGACACAAACTAGGTCATTTCGGGACTAACATATGGTTCAATTTTATTTCAATAATTCGCTTGCGCGTAGGGCTCTTTAGCAGTGGGGGGAAACCGGAGGACCCGGAGAAAACCCACGAGGTTGGACAGGCGACCCTACTCCTTGCCCTAACCCAGAGACTAGTGTTGATTTAGGTGCGATTTAATGATAACATTTTGGTCTTTAATTGACCTTCATCAGATGCTTCTTTAAACAATATAAATTTCATATTGTTTTAAGAGTAAAGTATTGATTGTGATCTTGTTGATGTTTGAAGACCAAAGGGGGGTAACTCTTCACCAAACATTCTTAATAAATGAAGGACAAAAGTTATTTTTATTCTTTCTCTCCCCCCACCACCCCTTTGCATGGCGATTTTTGTTGACTTCTTAGTGTAGAATCTGGACTTTACTTCTAGTTTGTGTATCTCAAGTTTTCCATGGTGAAACACATACCTGATTTTGAGCAAGAGGTTGCCACATGTTGCTCCATCTGTGGTACTTTCATACGAAAATTTGGGAAAAGTCAGAGCCGGTGTAAGAGAATTAACATTAAAGTCAATGGGGAAATCATTGGTGATCTGTGGCCAGTTAATTAGTAAGAATCTTGTCTCCTGTGTTTTTGACCATAACAATAAACTGGGACTGATATACCTGTCATAATATTATATGTCTGAACAGAAACTTTATAGAGTAATTTACACTTTTGAAGGTCCGTTTGTAAAATAATAATTTTCAATTTGAATTTCAAAGTTAATCCCCTGCGTCCGAAAATGGTATATAGAGTTCTAATCATTTCTATAATTTGCAGCTAATTTCAGATGTTAGTATACTTACTTGATTTGTTTTCTATGCTCGTCTTTTTCTTTCCGTATTTCATCCAAAAGAGCTCTTTTACTCATGGACATAGATGCTACACTACCACGACCAGAAGATGTTTTTGATCGATTTGCTTCAGATGTTACTGATGATTTACTCTCATCAGCTATAGTTGCTGTCTTCTTACTGCCATCAATTGATGGTATAATTTCTGATAATATATTTGGGGCTTGACTAGGATCCCAGATACCTATTTCTGAATCACATCTAAAAATGTCATCAACAGGTGTGGCAGGTATAGGTGTACGTTGACTATCATCTGGTGAGCTATCCACAGGAGAGTTTTGCTGCTTCTGTTTTATCTGGTTTTCGACATCTTCTAACTGTTTTTGAAGATTTTTTACTAATGTTAAGGTCATATTTTCTTGAAGATGATCCGATGACAAAAGAGACTGAATCTGCAAAAAATGAAATAAAATCCATTCAGCTGAAGTGGCTTTAAGTGCTATTTTCTAGTTAATACTAAACCACAGTAGTTGGGTAAGAAAGACATTGGATCCCTAACCAGTAGGTCCCAACATCAGCAGCAAAAGTTTCTCAGGAGTTTCGATCAGGGTGCCATAAAGTCTGTCATAACATTCAAAACGTCAGGTATTAATTCATTAGTGCCTAACAATTTATCAGCAGGGCTGTCGGTAATTTTTCACAGATGATTAGCAGCACTGCTAATCAAAAAGTCCAATATTGCCAAATTTGATTAGCAAATTTAAAAATTGATTAGCAGTTTTTCAGTTTCAAATCAACATAAAACACCTAAATAACAAGATTATTTTAATTTTAATTGATAGCAAATGATTAGATTTCATTCTCAAGATTTTTTTAGAATGTTAGCACTTCTACAGCTAGCTGTGAACATTTCTGAATGAATGTAGACTTTTGTTAGGCCTTATGTCTGAAGCCAATTCTTGGCAGTGGCTTCTTATTTCTTCGTTAGAAAACAATTTCGTCTGCTTTTTATCGTGTGTTATTATTTTTGTTCAATCGGAAGCACGCGGTATTTTACGAATAATCTCGATTAACTAGACGCACGCGATATAAACAATAATAGTTTACGGGAATTCTTACTTTGATTTCTCACTTTACAATACGTTTACACGTATTTATTTTTTATATTTTATTGACAATACGTGGGGGATACACTGAATTTATTTTTTTTTCAAATTGAATACTGATATAATTACTCGAAATTGACATGTCTCGCAACGTGAGTGGTACTACTTGATTCCCTATTTCCGGTTTAATAGTCCCGATTCATAGAGTTATGTCCCTGTAATATATAGTATCATGAATTGAGTCTGGGCAGTTCGAGAAGAAAATGTCACACGGAGAATTCCGTTTTGTTTATAAAATTTATTTGATATTTTATACGCGTTGAAAGTGTTGAGAAATGTGGATAAATCTTTGTGTCAATATCCAAAATGACAGGCATATTATTGATTCGCAGTTACTGCGAATCAAAAACGTTAGATTTTAATTTTTGATTAGCAACGGACAAAATATGTATCGCAAATTGCGCTGCGATACTGGTTGTCGCCAGCCCTGTTTATCAGATACAACTAAACTTATTATATCCAGGTTTGATTCCAGTAAATATCATAATATGCTCAAATCGTGCCAAAAAACAAAAAAAAACATCTTAGATATCCGAATATTCACATCTATTATAAAGGCTAAAGTGTCTTATTCTGGGAGTAGTGATGTGACTCTCCAATCAAAACATTGACAAAATATCAGAAGACTTGACCATTAATGTCTGACTTCAAAAATCTTATAAGATTCTCCAGTAGACTTTTATTTCGTGGTAAATTATGTGGGGCTTGAAAAGGAGGTTAAATATTCCTGCTCTATTTAACATCACATTATGTCACTGCTATAGGTATAAAATACACAGATTTTAGGCCCCAAATTTCCCTGATTTTGTCTCAATATCACAAGATATATTACATGTATGTATGAATACTTCCTATAATTCACAAAAATGTTATTTGATGCCTACCATAGACCTGACTTGTTCTGGACTAATATCTGATTGTGATGTATCTGTTGTCTGTGTTGCTGTGTGTGGTGTTGTAGTTCTGGATGATAAACAAGTTATATATTTATCTAACGCTGTTGATCGACCCGTTACTTCATCATCATCTTCTTCATCATCATCAATCTGAAAAAAAACCACATTAATTTCATTGAACATTAAGGTCAAGAATAAAGCAATGGCCCAAAACTCCAAAAGTGACTAATACTACACATGAGGGGGTCATTGCAGTCAAGCCATCAGGGCACTTGACAGTGACTAGAATCTTGCGAGTTTGAATCCTTGCATGGATCAAGAAAAAACTTCAGGATTATTCAAATACAGCCTTCAGTTGTGAAAATGTGCCTAGTAATTCGAATGGCACAAAAAGCTGAGGTCCTCCAGTCCATCTCATGTACACACTGGCATTTACATAAAATAGATCCTGAAAGTTGCAACTCGAAGAGTAAGTGGAAATGCTGATGTGTGGAAAAAATATTCCCATAGTAACCATAGAAATAAAAATTGCCAAACATGTGACTGATGAGATCTTTAACACCATTCCTTTCCTTTTTTTATTTCAACTAATAAAGAATTAGCCCCCTCCCCCCCAAAAAAATATTATTTCTTTTTGCCAGCATCAACATTCTTCCAGAATTTGTGAATTGGTGATAGCATGGGTGACTATATGCATGTGCAATGAACAATAGGTGATACCCTCAATGTCTACCCACAGCTCATCCCTTACACCTGATTCTTGTTAGGGTTTTAAAAAAGTTTTAATGTTTACCAAAAAGATATCTGACTCTACGGATGGAAGCGTGACAGTTTTCTGTTCCTCTCGTTCCTGATGTTTAGCTGCCAACATATCACGATGGTGTTTCTGTTTCTGTAATATTTTCTCTTTCTCTTTAAGTCTTCGCTTCTCTTCTTTCTCTTTTTCTGTTTTTCTCCGAACAGCTGCAGCAACACCTGTTAATATACAGAAAGATCCATTTAAACCTTAATTAAAATACTGAATCTAAAACAATTTAGGGAGTCATGCACCATGCTGCTCACTAAACATGAGGTCCTGGGTTTGATCCAGGTGTTGGGTTAGAAAGTTCCTTGGGATTTTCCAGTCTGGGTGCAAGATGGAAGGCCCATCAAGGAAAGATGAAACACTGAGGTTACATGTACATGTATGTGTATGCCATTAGCATCACATTAAAGATCCCTGTCAGTTGGAAATTCAAATAAACTGTACCACACCTGTCCAGGCAATGTTTCCCTCATACATGTAGCACACTGTGTGGCATTGATAAAGCCAGTGTCAAGATTTAACCGAATTTGCCCCAGAATAATTTAAACTATGAATTATCTATGAAAACAGTGCATTAGTCAATTCTTTGATAAAAGAAATTAAACTTGTTTCCGAGAACATATTATAAAAATATAATCTACAATATACCTGCTTCAGCTTTTTTCTGAACAACTTCTCTTGATCGACTATTACTTCTAGCTCGTAACACTGGTTGGGTTGTCTTTCCTTTTTTATCATCTGTTTCATTTTTCTGTCCATTTTTGCTTGTTGATCTATGTCGCGTATGAACTGTTTTATTTTTCACATCGCATTTTAACAGAGAACTATCTTCACCATTCTGGACTTTTTCACGACGTGATTGTCTTTTAGCACTATTTGGTTGATATTTAAGTGTTTCTGTAGGAGCTTTATGATCCTCACTGTCTAAATTGTGTTGGATTAAAGACTTCAATGAAGGAGTTAATTTTAACGTTTGAACTCCGTGTAGAATTTTATTTGTAACTGAAGCACTAGAAAAATTCATTTCCAGGACTTGATCTTCTGTGAGGAATTTCATAACAGCCATACCTACATTGTTTTTTGCAAAAATCAGAGCATTCTTTTGAACATCTTCAATACCAAGATTACGTAACCAGGCTTTCACAAATCTGTCAGTTTTCACAACTGACGATTTCTTACTATTTTTTTTAGTCAGACTTGTAGGCTGTTCGTTAATTATTTCATCTGATGTATCTGATTTAGAAATTTTTGCACTCAGTTTGGGACTATGTAATGATTCTGTGATTTGACTAAATGCCTCAAGAGGTGTTTTGTCATTTGGGGTTTTCAATAAGGGGAGATTATCCATATGTTGTGATGAACTTTCTGGCAGAAGTTCAATATCAGAACTATAGTCACTGGTTGAGACATTTGTTGGCTTGTTGACATTTTGACCTGAAACTGAATGCCCTGGTGTATGGTTTTTGGAATTAGCACTTGACACACCACTCTGCGGATCTACATTTTCAAAATCATCTTCAGAATCACAAGAATCGCTAAAGTTAAACTTATCACTAACGCGATGTATGAAATCCAAATTTAACTGTAAACTATCATCTTGTAATAACTCAGATAATTTTTTTTCGTCGTAAACATTATTTACTGCGGAACCAGTAGAAGATATTACTTCCTGTTCATTGTTAATTTGATGTTGTCTGTTTTCGTCTTCTCGTTCTTGATCAGCTTTTATTCTTGACAAAGTTCTATTCAAACCTAACACTTCTTCTTGGGGTTCACTTAGGTATTTCTGGGAGCTTAAAATATCCTTATCCACTATTAGTGCAGTAGCTTCATTTAAATCATCTGCTCGCAGTGCGTCTTCATTTTTAGAAACATAATCCAAATTTGGATCAAATTTCTCCAAATCATTAATAACTGTTGCTGGTTCAGCCCTTCGGAAAATCCGTAATTTTGAATTTTTTATTGGTTTGGGTTTCTCTGGCTTCTTGTCTATTCTGCTTCCAAAACCTATTTCAGGCTTTTTGGCATGTTTCCGTTCTTTGACTTGATTTTCAGAATATTTCAATGATCTGTGAATAACTTTAGCACTTAACTTCTCTAAAACTCGATCCTTCTTATCATCTATTTCTAAATAATCCGTATTAAATAGTGATTCGTCATCCGTATCTTGGTTAGAAAAACTACCTACTTTTGATTTTATTGCATTCTGATTTTTACTGGAAGATGGCCGACTTAAACCAGAAGAACTGGTCATCATTTTCTTTTTTTGTCGTGACTTTGCATCCTTTCTGATGTCCTTTTGAATTTTTTCGCTCAATTGATATTTTTCCTCCAACATCGCTCGTTGTTTGTCAATTTCTAATTTCAGCTTCTCTAAATCTTCAATTGTTTTTATTTTGGGTTTTTTAAGGCTTGCTGATGTTGGTCTGCTCATGTTGATTTGAGGACTGGTTGAAGATGAAGAACGATCAAGATCTGTTCCTGTTTTGTAAGTGGTTAGTTTACCTGTTCCACCATATTGCCATCTGGCTCCTCCTATCTCATTCCTGAATTTCATAATAAAATATTTTTATTTATATCAATTAGTAGGCCTAAATGTAAGTTACACAGGTGGATGGAGAGAAGTGAATATGGATGTTTGCAATAGGCCTTTCACTTCAAAATTTTGCCAGCTGGTCAAATTTTAATGTATATGTACTTTGTTTACAAAGATATTTTTTCACAGCATTATCCAGTTTTTGAATTCATGTCATTATGTGTTTCTACGCATAAAAACTATAAATTTAACAGTATTTATTGTGTTTAAGCTGAAATGCTTTCAAATTCAAATTTTGTGTCTGTAAATTGGCTGTTAGGTATATTCTCCAACTGGTCAATTTACTGCCAGACATTCAAGACTGTGTCTACATGTTATCTTCAAGACAGCGGAAAACATAATTTCAATTAAATATTTTCAGACACTAACCTGAGTTGTCCTTGAACTGTCTTCTGGTCAGCTAATTTTAGATTGTGGTGTAACTGTAGAGCTTCATTAAGTTCAGATACATCTTGATGTAATTGTTCATTCTCTATAACTAGATTATTATGGATATTATCATTTCTGAAAATGAACAATAAAATATATTCAGATAGGACATGAAAATTATCAATCAACTGTATTTATTATCTTTTATGGTTAAAGTCTTTAAATTTCTAATTCTATGGCATTATTTGACCTCAATCAAATACATGTAGGTTTACTTTAACTCCTTCAAGATGGCAAAAATGTGTTAGTCAACTTTTCACTACATACACGTACCAGTGAAATTTAACACACCAATTACATGTAACTATTCTTATTCTTAGCTACCAATGTGCTTTTATATCTGTACTGAAAGCCACTGATGATTTTTCGTATTTTTGGGCCAATATCTGTTTTTTAACGGCTAAATGTACTTAAATTGATTATGTAGCGTTTAAATTAAAAAACAAAACAATCAAAAGTATTGAATTCAATTCCTCCTATTCAAAAGTGGTCCAACAAAATATTTTACCTATGACCTGTAGGTGACGCTGGCTTATTGATATATTGTCTGCATAAGCTACAGAAATTTGAACTATTTTTGGCCTGATATTCATTTGACTTGAGAGCTTCAACTTTTGAGATACATGTAAAGTACATGTATTTTGCAAGGGATTATTTTTGTAGGCATGTTTGTCATCCAATAAATGAAAATATTATTTGATGTAATTATTGTACCTGTTTAATGCCTTGTGTCTTCTATTATATGACATTCTGTAAAACACCATATATTCAAAATGTCATAGTAGCATCTACAAAATAAATATTATATAGTGGTTACTGTACATGTACTGTGGTACACAATTTGAACCATAGACATCAGATTCTACAATGTATATGGTTAGGTATGCTGCAAAAGAAATTGGCATTATATACATGTAGTTGGTGAATAAATGAAATTAAATGGGGGGTTAACATCCTACTGTTCGGTACCGACTCGGCTGATGAACACAGGCATATGCCATGCAATGTGTTATGGAGGAAATTTTGCCTGGACAGCAGCTCTACAGTTTACTCTTATTTCTAATTCCCATTGTTAAGGGATCTTTTACATGCACGCTATTTTGTACACTTCATATGATTGAACAAACTTTTATTGTGCTATACAGTGGCAGTGTCTCACCCATCCCTCTATACTTAATAATTCTGTACAATACTGATTTGGACATTGAATAACCAAGTATTAAAATACAGATCCTTAGACTGATTAGGGCTACCCAAACCCTCAAGGCAATATGAAACAGTTTTCAAAGGATTAATACACCAAAGTTCACATAAATATATTCATAAATATATTTGCAGTGACAAACCCCCAAATTGCGCTGTTTTGAATGTCTGTTGATGTGTTCATTATCCACCACATGAATATTAATACAGGTTGACTCTTTAGAATTTAAGAGAAAGTGAAAAATGTCAATTTGCATTCCAAGCTGTGCAGATACGGTACATATGTATGTATGCATACTTGAAAGATTCAACTCATATATCAAAGATAGTTACCTATAATATGTACTGCGATATATGTAAAAGTTTTCGTATTCTAGCCTACAACTGGTATATTTCATATAACTATGCAATAAATTCTTGAATATTCATGCAGAATAAAACACTACCAATTCGGAAACACTTGATCTCCCACCAAATCTTCGATACTGATATCTAATTCTTCAAATTCCAAATAATTCTTAAACTAAGTCTCCTTTTATGAAGGTCCTTTAGAAGAATCGTTTCTGCTATTAGGCAGAAAATAGCTATTGAGAAAAAATCACACATATATCCATCAATTCACTGTTAGTCTCACGCCATTTTTAATCTTATCTGCGGTTTTCAAGACAAGCATGTATCAACTCGATTGATTTCCTGACGGTGGCATCTGCCTTCATGAATTTTTAATATGGCGTACAGTTATTTTGAGTTAATTGCTGAAAAATTGCTGCAAACATTCTAATTTAATTATTGCGACATGTGTTTGTTTCCCCAAAACTGTCAATTTAATTACTTTCAAAATTATAGACTTTTGACATCCATTTTCATCGTTTGTGATGTTTTAGCGTCCATAGTAATCCGAAGCAGGCGTGCTAATTCAGGTATTTTGTTTACACCTGTATAAAGCGACACCTATGTAAATAAAGCTACTGTGAGAGGGATAACTCTTTGATGTTAATTATCTCACCCGAGCGACAACTATACAACATCTGTTAATATTTTATGCACATTGTTAATACCATACCAATAAATAAAATAGAATTTATGGACGATTGACTTATTTCATTATCTTTTATAAATAAAACAATTTCTCTTAAAAAAAAATGGAAGAGGAAATAAATCATTAAATCGTGTGTGGGATGTATGAAATGACATAAAGATGTGTGCTGTTGTTGTATACATGTACATATTATTATAAAATTTAAGAAGTTTTCGAATTAATATGAAATGGTGTTAGGTTGTTCTATTGACTACATGCATCTGCGGATTAGAGGGGGTGCGAGTCTGAATAGGCTGAAGCAATAAAGCACCCAAATTATTGTTGGGGCCCCCAAAACTAGCTCATACTCATAGAAAAAACCAAGTTGTCTTTGTGAGAGTCGATGTGGCAATACGAAAAATCTTGGATTCGCCCCAGGCAATTCCCGTTAATCAATGGTGCAGGGTGGGGGACATGGAAAGTACAGTACGTTTAATCGTTCGGATAGGACGAACAAGAATCCTTTCCCGAAATAAAGAGTTGACCATAATGCCATACTGTCGTACAAATAGACCCCGATATGGTGCTAATGGGTGGGATAAACATTGTAAGTTTGTTATAAAATTAATTTCATGCGGTACTTAGAGTGAGGTAAGGATGCCGACTTCCCGCTTAATACTCAGGCCCAAAGGAATGATGCCCGTGTCTACGGTTTCTTGGCCAAAAAATGGAGTCGGTCGGTCTTTCGGCATACTGTTTTTTTTAATGGGGTTTGTGGGGTATAATTGGAAAGAACTAACCGAACTAGCTCCTCCAAGTGATAACTGAGGAGACCATTATGTATGTCCTATATAAATTCATGAGTCATTAGACTATAATAAATGTATTGGTGTGTTTAGAATTGGTTTTGAACACTTTATATTATCGACTGTAGTATAACTCTCCATGTAACAGATGTTCAACCATAATAATAATTATACACTGCAAAAAATATAAATCGCATAAATTTGCAACAAACGGGGTAGGTTTAAACTTTTTTGAGATTAAATTATAGTTATTTTAATGCGTTGTGCTCGAAATGGGGCCTGGGCTGTGGTGGGTGCGTTGTTCGGGCAGCTTTGTTTATGCCTCCAACGTGAAAATTGGTACACGGATAGACCTCGAGTTTCTCTCCAATCTCAACGCCTTGGGAAACTTAAAAATAAATGCAAAAATTTTAATAAGAATGTCCTTTGCTTATTTAAGCATGCGTATAATTTACTTCTAACGAAATCTTATAAAGATTCTAAGACGTAAAGACGCGATGGAAATAACGAAATGAATTAGAATACCGTCTAACGTCTCTTCGATACTTTGCCTTGTTTTGTTGGGGACTATCATACTCTCATTTATATGTACCATAGACGCCTGTGTATATCTATGTTTCGATGAAACATTTTAAATGGAGCCTAACAACGTTAATACGAAAGAAATTGTGTTTAATGTCCTACTTTTCTATGCTCCACCCAGGCTAATGATGAATTCCAACTACCAAGGTTTTTTTTACGTGCAACCCGACGTTAACACGAAGCCTCGGTTTTTCGTGCTATTCGAACGACTAGACACTGCTCCGGAAAATCCCGAGGATCGAACCCGTAACCTACAGGTTAGAGAGTCGTCGCCTTACTCACTGATGATTAAAAAGCCGCTGTCCACTAAACGTTTTCTCACTAAGTTTCAATGAAAAATAAATACCAAAGCCGTAAACTATATTGTCGTAATAACGATTATCCTCAACAGTTAGAATTTTACAGTGTATGTAATGTCATAAATATAGTACGAATGAGAAGCATAATATGCTAGAAATAGAGGAAAGGTGTTGACTGGATAAACTGGAATAATCGTTCTGTGATGTAGGTATAGATTATGTTATAATAAGGTACTAAAAGGGACCAACAGATTAACATAATCAGAGGTCAGTTTAATAATCCCAAGATAATTAGAGTGTCATCCTTGGTTTGCCAGCAGACTAAAAACCATTTGAGGTATTCAAATATATCGGGCTTTTTGGTTACAATGTGATTTTCGGATTAACCAAAGATTAGCGGCAAAATATAGAGATACATTCGGTTTTATTGTGATTCTGCATGTTAATATGATTATGATAATACGGCAATGGCATGGTATCAAGGATATACATGTACATGTCCCGGTAAACCCAGTCAGGGATTAACCTTCATGGACCCACTAATGATTAAAATTTCTATCTTTTGGATTAATGGACCCAGTCTGGGTGAGTGGTAGGTATATGTGGTGGTGGTGGGGGTTTGTGGGGGGGGGGGGCGCGTAAATATCTACATGTATTCAGGGAAGTCCCGTGCAGGGGCGTGCTGGCAGGGAGTTTAGGAGGACGGTGTACTCCCAGGCCCCCATTAAACAATAAGTCCACCCGTATAAGCGGGCCCCCCTGAGAGCTCTAATTTTCACGCGGAATCCCCTCGAAAAATTGAGAATGCGCACGCGAAAAATCATACATACACAACCATTAGTAAAATATATTAGATTTCTCCCAGAAGTGCTTGCAAAACGCGTTTCCTTCGGCGACCGACGGGCCCCTTCGGGGCCAGCACGCCCCTGGTCCCGTGCGGTTCACTTGTGACCGTTACTATTTTAAGAAGAAAAAAAAAAACATACACACACCATCGACGAACCTGGTGAACTTGTGTTGATTTGAGTTATTGATTTATTGCGTCAATTTTCTACAATCACTGGAAATGGTTTTCACCGTAGTTTTGTGTACTTGGATAAGAGAAAATTTGTATAGCTCATCGATAACAAGGAAATCCTTTATGTTTGACATTGCCGTACTTAGTTATTGTGTAAATAAGGTATGATAAAAAAAATATAGTGCATATAGACTATAACATCAAGTCAAGCGATAGTGCCCAAAATGTAATTGATTTTCAACAACAGTATTTCATATTTGGAAATTGAAATCTTGCAACATTTCGTACCATATCTACAGATATTTATTTATAGGGTGCGTTTAGTAATGTGAACGATGGTGTAGCTAGAGTGAGTGCCGCCCTAGAACCCCCACCCCGATACCCCCGACACCCACACACGCAACGAAAACCAACACAATACACATCAAACATACATATACTGTTAAACAAAAAGCAATGTTTTAATTGTTGGACAATAAGATTACGGCAGGAATCTTGTATCCACCGTGAATACACAGTTTGTGATTAGTCGACGCCAGATAAACCTACCAACCAAACCCCATGACTCCCTTCAGATGTTAATTGAGTGACCACCCGAATAATCCCAATGAAAATTACATCTAGTTTTAATTACAGTGTGAATATAGTTGTAGATAAATTAAATGGTCCAAACTTATTCAAATCGATAAATTCTAATTGGTTATACCAGTTATTAGTCTAGCCACATAGTTCTGTAGTATTTGGAGTTTGTGTGGACATCAGACAAGAAAGAATTGAAATTATCCAATCTAGGTATTACTAATGGTTGCACAAGTGTTTATCATAAACGTCCCGACGTTCAAGATATTACACAGATGAAAGCAGCCCACTTTATAGACATTGTTAATTTGAAATACAAAGCTTATCTTGGAATTGAATATAGCACTGACGTTACTTGCTGATGGTCAACCAACGATTTATTTTTAAAGTCATCTATTCGTAATGAGACATCATAAATCAACTTTCGTCAGATTTGTCTTGACTTTCAATAGTCCGATATTAGCTCTTGTCATCATTTAATTTAAGCAGATTTTCAGCCAACCCTTTCTTTGTGTAATCAAGTCAGCTTTCAATGTTCTGTCTGGAACGACTAAAATTATGAAGGTCTGACAGAAATTTATAATTCAGTATCATCAAAATACAAGTGGAAGGGTAGATCATATTATGTCCAAGAGGAGAAATGTATAAACTGAAGCGAATTGGTCCCAATACAGACCCCTGCAGAGCTCCATTTTTTCAGAAGGGTTAATATTCACTTAAAACATTTGATAATAATTCTGCTATATTTTTCGCCCCAACTGTTTTTTTTTTTTTTTGGTACCCGAGTGTGCTTAATTGTACAATAACAACTGGCTTTACTTTAAATCAGTGTACATGTATATTGTTTCATTACTTTCAAAATATACCTGAACAATTTGTGCCTTTAAATAAAGCTTATTCATTGAAACATATATATCTACATGTATATGTAATGCGCCCAGCGTAGTCTATTTGAACCTTAATATCAACATATGAATACAATGAATAGACAGAGATTTTATACTGATAATAAAATACACATTTATTAAACTGAAGTCAAGCGAATCCTTAGTGAACAAATATTCTTTATAAATAGGTTGCTCATGACACACGACACACATGAGACCTGAATGGGGGGTATCAATACAAATGATGTCATCCTAACATTTATTCTAAGGTCTGGCGAAAGAAAAGTTTCCCGTTGCAGTTCTTTTCTTTGTCTGGGGTTATAGGTTTATTAGTTTATTATGTTTCATTGTGAGCTTGACTTTATTGAATTGCAGTGGTGGCCGCGAATCGTCAGCAAAACACAGAGTTAAGCTGATAATTTCTTCACCTCTTCAAGGAACTCCAGAACAACTGGTCTGGCTCTCCGGTCGTGGAAGGGGAACATATAAAATATGGTAAAGAAAAAAAACAGAAGTGATTTGAATCAAATTGTTGAATTCCAGTCGAATATCGTTTCTAATATTTTGCGAAGGTTAATTTGGAATTTCTTTTACTTTTCAGGTTAACTCTAGAAGTTTAGACCCAGAGTGCCAGACGTTTATAAGTGATATTACAGCGCGTAACTGACATAAAAAGGCTCTAGCCAGATCGAGAGAGTTTCACCATGCAGTGTCCAATTTGTTTAGATGATTTTAAAAACCCGGTAGTTTTGCCGTGTGGACATAGCGTATGTCAAGGGCGATGTTCAGATGGATTAATCAAAAACCATAAAATAACGTGCCCAAAATGTCGTTCAACATTCTGGATTCCACAGGGTGAACATTTGCCAAAGAATTACGACCTAGTCGAAATGATAAACAATAAAGACATACAGGAAATTCCGTCAAAATGTGAAACTCACCCAGAAGACACATTGATAATGTTTTGTACAGAGTGTTACATACCCCTATGTGTAAAATGTTACGTGGTATTTAACCCTGTGGCAGGGCATGTACCCGATCAGGCCCTTCACAAGGAACATGGTGTTATACCCTTGGACAAAATGAACGAATATATACGTGTAAGTCTCATATTTTATATACTTCCCCGTCCATCAACCGTAATGGATGCTATCAGTGCAAAAATCTCAATCGCAAAGATCCCTGAACTCCCCTATGAGGAACTTAGTTTTCTGCATTTCCCTACAAACTTATTTCGGTCTGTAAATATGCTGTGTCTTTGGGTGCATAATATCCTTTGTTCAAATATTTGAATACGTACATGTACGTTTGTTTAGTCTCCGTCACCCAGACCATCTCTGTGTATGTCCACATCTCGTGGGTTTTCCCATACCTACAGTCAGACGGTAGTCAATAAAGTGGGCGAGTAACACGATTGGATCTAATGCAGTCAGCGCAAAGTTACTATTATTTGCAAGAGCACCTGTTTAAGTAGAAGCAAATCTAATAAATTATTATAGTATTGATCCACATGAATAGATTCCAACCCTTCTGACGGGAATTAGGGGAAGAAAAACCTTTTTAAAAAATCCAAAGAAACCATATTTCAGTCGGTACAACAAATTGCATTCTTGTTATCCTACCCTCTAGTTCATTTAGTTACTGGATAATCGAATTCCGTTGGTCCAGAAGGCCATCTAGTTTAATGCCAATTAGGGTAAGGGTTAATACAAAGCATTTGGCCGAAACATCGCACACTCACTGGTGTAATACTGTGGTCTTTGCGACCATATCGCATCTTTAATTTAAAAAGTAGAACTGCACTGTTGCATTGTTATTCCTGGTAAGACAAGCGCCTTACCTACTGCGATAGTAAGGAGAATATACACAACGTGAGTCCTAGCTAAACGAAGAGAATTACAAGTACTAGACGATCACAAGGCTAACAAAATCTGTATTAGGCGAGAATATGTCGGATGTGGTAAGCTTTTTCAGGGTTTGCGCTTTCCATATCTAACCGACGACGTATATTGCTACACTGGGCATAGCTTATATCAATCTGTTTTGGAAAGATCGGACATTTATTTGGAGTGTTATACTGAATTTTCTATGTTTTTTAGGATTTGGTGGGTGTAACATCTAGTTACATAAAATATAAACAGAAAGAAGAGATGAAATATCTGCAAGACTTATTAGTTACAAATGAAACCGTCCAGGTTCGGTTAAATTATTATTATTATTATGGCACCTCAAAGGCTAGCAATAGAGTAATGTGAATGAAATTTTCAATATTGATTTTGCATTATCTATTTTCGAACTATTATAGCAAGAATGGCTGTGTTAGCAAGAATGGCTAGATACTTATCTAAATCTTACATATGTATCTTTCAGTTTTACACAAGATCTACAGCGTGGAGTTTTAAAAGAAAGCCCCTAAGGAAGTCACAACATAATCTGAAAACAACAAAACATCAACATCACATTATATTATTGATTATTGACTTCGTAAATTTTAAATGCAATAGTGAAGGGGCATGTAACATTTGGTTTGTTTGAACGACTATCGGTCGACCCGGTCCTCTGGATGGGACATTTCTTCCAGATATTATAGTTATTTTTCTGTAAATTATTATCATTGCTTGTGGGTCACGGGATAATTAACCCCATTGATCTTTTCTTGTTAGTGCTAAAACTGGCGCCCTCAAGATTTCGTACAGAATTGCTCCTATCTAGACGGTTTGCATTGAAAGTACAGCTACAAGGGGTGTCTACTTTACAGGAACCGTTTTTAACATTTCATTGATAATAGCCATGCGAATATTATTTTTCAGGATGTTGTAGATACTAAATGTGAATTGATCAGAAATAAAACTGACCAATTAAAGCAATATTTAGATGAGAACAGTTCTCGTCAGATAGAGGCTATCAGATCATCAACTGTCAATCAAGAAATCGTTGACATTTCTGACCAATCAATCGGGAGATTACAGTTATATTCTGGTCTTCTGGGACAATGTGAGAGATTGTCTCAGACAGATTTATCGCTGGTAAGTAGTAAAATTATAAGTATAGAAATGGATGACCAGAGTACTATTTCAGGAACACCTGGTGCTAATTCCCATTTGTTTTGGAAGTTCATGTATAGCCTGGACCACGATAGTCTAGCTGTGGATTGTCCCGGGCTCTCGTACTTGCACTTTTAACTTATGAGATACATGTAAACCCATGTCCAGGTAACTGATGAGGTAGGTTAAAGCACGAGACTGAAGTTATGCTGGGGAAACAAAGGCTGGGGAAAATTACCCGAAAAAAAGAAAAACCGATGTCTTTCTTTCCCGACATAACCGAAGTCGAGGACTTTATCTTGCTTATAAACCGTCGATGTTTACATGTACGTAAAATGAGAATATTATAGAATTCCAGTAAGAAAAACCTTATAATATCATGTTTTCTTATGGAAAAAAACCTACCTTGGAAGTATAACCCGTTACAGGTCTAAAGTATAACTTTCAGAAGAATAATCTCAAATTCCCCGTATATAGACCGCAAGTTATTCCAGGCATAGAATATACCCAAGAGATCAAAGAGATATACCTTTATAGGTTTATAAAGACATAGAAACTGATGGGATAGACCCAAGGGATGAGATGGACCTGAGTCCCCTTAAATAATGTGATAGACCATGTCCTGGAAAGTTTTAAAATTCATACATATACCCCAATCTCTAACAATTTTATTTTTCCCTTTACAGAATACTACAGAAATACAGGGGTGAGTATAAAATACCGTATTTTATCTGTTCACGAGTTTGAAGGTGAAAATACAGTTTCCCTTTGAAGCGTTGCCAGGAGGATTGAAAATGTTTTCTTGCTCATCGTCTTCTTGACTGGGTCGTACAAGTGAGGTATTTTCTTTCATATCCAGACGTTCAAAGGCATATAACCACCGAAGACGAGCGTGTGAAGGAGGGTATGACAGATTTAGATATGGGGCCAGTTTAACTGAAGGGCCCAATAATACAAAACGCATTATGTAAGAGCTAAATCTGCCAATTGCAGGTCTTTCTTTTGACCTTTAATGTTATATAAATTATTAAATTAAATATTCATTAACATATATAACAAGACCATAATCAAATCTTTAGACCATTGGATGCTCGCGAATTTCAGTGGATTGAAACAAGATCGTCATTTAATAACTTGATTAAAAAGCGGATAATCCAGACTTTGTTTACTATCGTAACAACGATAGCAATGACAATCGATACTCTGCTATTCTCCAAACAGCCATAACTTCGCTCAGAATGAAGTAATTTAACTGAAATTTTCAATGTATTCGTTTTTCATGTTGTTTTTTTTTTTTTTTTTTTTTTTAAACTATTCTAGTGAGAACTGCCAGCTCTTTATCTAAATCTTACATAAGTACAGCGATACATTTATACTTAACACCGATGATCTTCATGACATTTGCATGTTGCTTTATATTTCAACACGGTTTAGTGAAACTGACCCCAGGTGTTCAGGGGATTTTGCTGTAATACAATTTTGTTCCAATATTTCAGATTTTTAAGAGGTTTAAATGATATACCAGATTGTGAATTGCGACCAGACCCCAGATGTTATTTAAATAACAGTATTACAGAAGGAACTGTTGTAGATGTATCATCTGCAGTAACAGCCATACAACGTTGTTTTACTACACCCGCTCAAGGTATGTAAATTGATAACAGCTCACATTCTGTACCAACACATGTTCCTCGAGCAACCACAGCGAGTATTACAACCTTGATAAGATATACGGAGATAAAGCGAGATCGAGCCTTCTATTGAAGATGGCACCAACAGGGCTAATGCAGACGGCCATGGGTCATGCAGTGTTCTATGACGGATATTTTTACTCTTTTCCGATGCGATACTTGGGATCACTAACGTGCTGCCCAAAGTATATCTCGGTTTTTCGATCCCATCCGAACGACTAGACGCTCGTCCTTCCGTCCTGCACCACTGAAAACCGGCTGCATAAATATCCCTTCTTTTAAATTCAAATGAAGTAGACGTAATAATCATCAGACTAAAAAGATTTCCCCGTTCTTCAAAATCAAAATGATCCAAATGTTTTGAATAATAATAATACCAAATACTAATTCCAGTGAATTTAGCAACGACAATAAGTGGACTCACCACATGAGAAAAATCGAAATTAAAACCTTAGGCCTAGTGACAATCCTTAGTGTTTTGAGTTCTGGGTTAAGTTCCGTCAAAATTAAAACTGGACGTTATTTGCATTCCGTAAATTCCGTTTATTTGAAGGGGAACTAAATATTGATATAATTAGACTGTATAAATTATGTATTTTTAGGTATACCAGATAAACCGACAATTGAATTAGAAGACTGTGTGGCAAATAATGAATCTATATCTGTGACATGGAGATATGCCCCATGTGACAAGGTCGGCTATTTTACAGTCTATTATCAAACCGCCATCTTTGCTTTTGGTAACTGTTCAGATCAGACGAGTATTCTAGTTGGAGATTTTGGACGGTCTATAGGCCACGTGACAGTTCGTGATTTACAGACAGAAACACGTTATAGATTGTATATTACTGCTAGTAATGAACATGGGGAAAGTGCTCGTTCTGATATTCTCTATTTTAAAGCTTCAAGTGTTGACCCACAGATGAGAGTTTTCTAATTGGTATCCGAACCATGCAGTGGTCTTTTGCTGTTGAGTGAAATTTGTGTGCGTGTGTAGGGGCACAACGGAACGGAAATTATCAGGTTCCTTTTAGATTTGCGGCTTGGATCCCTGCACATATTGAGAGGAAAATTATTCTGACAAAAGATTACCAACAACCACATATAGTGAGCGACGTCGTGTATAGCGGGACGGGATTGGTTTGGTTGGTTCCGACTAATTGTAATTCTGTTAAACTATGGGTTTCCAAGTGAATACCTTTATAGTTCACCAAATGTGCCGTCATCATAGTTTGGGACAAATTCTTGTGCTTACTTAATACTGAATCTTATTTATGCCATAGTAATCTGTCCTGTTTGCTATCTCTCACAGACATGCGTCAGGCGTAAATTCAAAATTTGTCAAGCTCAAATTTTCTTTAATAATTTATTGGATATAACTAAAATGATTATTTCCAAGCCTGGCTCGTTGTAAATACGATACTATCCCGATACGTAGCTATTAATCAAAACCACGCTTGTCATTTTCCCTAGAAGTCTGGATCAAATTCGATATAAGAATGCGAGCGTGGCTGTTAAAATGCAAACACGAATTGAAAGATGGAGATTTTAATAATGAAACACAGCAATTATAACAGGGGCTACAATATATACGTTATTGTATAATCCTCTGTGGTAATGTGATCTGTAATACTAGTGAAATTAAGGTAGGATCTGAAATACTAGTAAATGATCTATATGTATAACCGGTGTGTCTGTTTAGGCAACAATACTGTTGCTTTACAGCATTTATAAAAATCTATGTGTTCACACAACATAATGTATTATTATATGAAATGTGTGTTTTTTGAAATAATAAAACCCATCTCAACATATTTATAGAAAGAATTTATCGTTATTTATTCTATCCGAAATTAAAACGAAATGCAGTGGGGATTAGCGTCCTACTTATCGGGCTATTGAAAGGGGAACGCGCCAGACAGTGTGCTATGGATTTTGCCGTAACACATCGAATTCCAACTGTTAAGGGTTCAATTTTCTAAGATCCAAACAAGAGAGAGAGAGAGAGAGAGAGAGAGAGAGAGAGAGGGGGGGGGGAGAGGCTTTCGCTCATTAATACAATTTGGGTTATTCTTTATTTCAATAATTCGCTTGAGAATAGGATATTGAAATACAAACAGAAACATCATAATATATAATCTTTTGGATCGAAACCAGTTATTTGACTCAATGACAGACCTTGTGATCTAAAGCACCCGCGTTAGACAATTTGACAACCCAAGACCAAAACCTTTTTTAGAACACTTTTAATAAATCACCATTTTTCTTTGTGTCGCAATTCTTGTATATAGTTGAGGAAGATTTGAACTTTCTCAACATTGATACCAAGTCCATGATGAATGCCGTCAAAACTCATCATGCCATCTGTAAGTGCATAGGAATTAAAAACTGCTATATTTCTTTGTTTTAAATATTTGGTCATATCTTTGGTAAATCTGAGCAACTTTGGTAAAGTTTGAGGCATCATTGTAGGGTGTTTCAGTAGTCCTGGAGCGGGTGGCATAGACCACAAAATTTTCGGCCACTTATTATTGGTCGTGACATCTAACGCCGGCGTCAAGTATCTGTTCTTCACAACATTAACATGAAAGTGATCATGATATCCTATACCCACGAAAACTAAACTTTTGGGTTTATTTATCAAGTTTTTTACTTCATACAAGAACTCGGACCCCAAATCTACTTTGTAATTTTCAGCAAAAGTAATATTTACGCGACCCTTACAGAGAATCACAGCTCCATTACTCATGTACGATCTGCATTTCCTTTCTAGAAAACCACGCATCCCTTCACATAGCATAGAATCTGAAATTAAGAAAAATAACAATACAGCTGCTGAACATTAGAATTAAATATCACCGCGAATATTGAATCTCTGACAGAAATATCAGTCCTAACATGGTTCAATTTATTGATGACGTCAATATGACAAACAGCATATGATATTGTTAGGTTCGTTTATTCAGAAAAATGAGCCGGAAACTTTTATCTACAAATACAAATGATTTCGCCCTCATGCTCGAAAATCTGTGGACCGTCAAAAAATAAATAAATAATAAAACAAGAATGTGACCCACAAGAAAATGTCTGGGCCATAATAAAAAATAATGATTTAAAGTAGCTAAGTTTTTAACTCAATATCATCCACAGTCTTCGACATAACAAACACGAATTATTTTTCAATTTAAATGAACTTCTGATATCCAATATTTAAGACAAAATAAACATTTTACTATTGATACACGAATCGTGTACCAGAATGCGTTTCTGTGCCATTTGTAACAAGGGGCTCGAAGAACGAGGCTAGAAATATTACATAAGTCATGTGAAACGGTGACGCTATATTCTTATCAGGAGAGCATGCGCAATAAATACTACCGGTGTATACTGAAATAACCTGGGCCCTGTTTCACAAAAACTTAAATCTCCTTAAAATCGTCTAAAACTAAAATTCCATCCTAACTTAAGATAGATGCGTTTCACAAAACGATTTTAAGCATTTAAGATAAAATCCACTAAAATAATATTGTAAGTTAAAATTGTATCTTAACTTAAAATAGTGGCGTTTCACAAAACTATTTTAGGGAAATTTTAACTAAAATCAATTTTAACTTAGGACAGCCGTCACCCTCTCCTAACTTAAAATCACGACATTAGCAAACATTGATTAGAGAGCTTCGTTGTGAGATCTATTGCGACACAAAGATATATTTGAAATAATGATAATATTGCCAATGGCCCGGGTTATATAATTTAAACATACTATCATTCACAAAAATAATTTTCATTCAATTTCTTTTCATTGCATGGGAAATATAGGTGCGGCCCACCCGTTTATTTTATTGTAAGGCAATATAAGCAATTAGATGACGCCCCAAATTATAACCCCAAGAACAAAAAAACCCTCAAAACCCCAGTAATCAAAACTCTTTGTTACTATTTTATATATTACCACATGATTCAAGTATAAATTATACCATTTTCAAATAACTAATAGAGAGAGAGAGAGAGAGAAAGAGAGAGAGAGGGGGGGTATAACGTCCACTAGACACAAACTAGGTCATTTCGGGACTAACACATGGTTTAATTTTATTTGAATAATTCACTAGCGCGTAGGGGTCTTTAGTAGAGGGAGGAAACCGGAGGACCCGGAGAAAACCCAAGAGGTTGGACGGGCGACCCTACTCCCTGTCTCGTACAACCGAGGAACCGAAACCCCGTCAGTCCTATAATACTAGATACGCCATATGCAAAGTATTTATGATTTTGGGGTTATGATGACTTATATAGGAGCCAATGGTAATTTATATTGGGAAAAAAATATTTTTAATTTAGTAAGTTAGATAGGCATTATCCAATAAGTAGTGGGGCACTTTGGCATTTTAAAATTATTATTGAAAGGGTCCATGGAACATTGGTTATTTCGTGTATTTGTTATTAAATACTTTTAAAATTCGAGAATACTTAAGTCTAGATTAATCGTTTGGGTTAGAAATATCACATGTATGTGACAATTTCTCAATAGTTTCTGTTATCGAAAATACCATAAAACTACTAAATTCAAGCGATTTAGTTTATCGATACGCATTATTTCCATTGAAGCCTGCGAGTAAATCAAATGCCAAGGTCACGAAAGCGACATGCAAGTTCAAGGCCAACTAACTGATACATTTCAAAGCGAATAACCCACAATAAACATATTTATTTCATCTCTCTATGACTGTCTGACCATGTGTAGACATTGTTACAACGTATGAAACTCTCCTCAATGGTATTGTAACGGTTAGTTCAACCTGACAGAAGTTTTCAGTTCCGAAGCGTGTATATGCTTACACCCTAAGTGCCCTCGCCGGATTGTGCACTGCGCGAGCGCAAGCAATTTTAACTAAAATCTATTAAAATTGCATTTTAAGTTACAATCGATCTTCGTGAAACGCATAAAATTTTAAATTACAGTTTGATTTTAGTTAAAATCAATTTTAGTGATTTTAGTTTAAGTTTTTGTGAAACAGGGCCCACCATTCAGTTGAGATTTCTCGCGTATTTCGCCGAACATAACTGATTTGAAATAAGATTAAAAACTGAAACGACCCATTTGTGTCAATTTCTAGGTCCCAAATATTAGCGATTTAGCTCCTTTAAGAATATGGTCCGCTCTGGTCCGTAGTAAAATAGTAATATGAACATGCCTGTGTTTCCTAATTTTAAACTTACCACTAAATGCGTTATTAAATGAGTTAATTAAAATACGTACTTCCTTAATCTTTGTACTGAAACACGAATATAGACTACTCAAAAACTACTTCCAAAAATCTATTCTGAAAGATTTACTTACCCTTCTGATAACCTTTTTTGAAAAACCCTCTTTTAAAATCATTTTTAAGGATTAACAACATGGCCAGGAACATATGTCTCATTAAGGAATCACCACTGATATAAATGGTCATACCATCTAATAATTTACACGATTCGTCACCAATGAACTTATGGACTTTACATTGTTTATTTTCTGGTATCCACTCTGAATATTCTGCATTCGGGGTTTGTCGTAAATCTAGACACCCTTCACACTGACACGCTTCAATAGTCTTGTCTTGGCATTTATTTTGCATACAACATGGCGTCGCGCCATCAGGGGTGCACAGGGAGCGAAACCATCGAAACTTCGTGTACGGTTCTTTGGCAAATGTGGAATTTCCACAAAGCAGGTCCTTTCTCTGTAAGCTTTTAGGGAGTCCCCATTCAGTTCTGGCCGTCTCCAAAAATGTTTGGATTTCTGTTTCTTCGATTTGTGTCATTTTGCGTGGTACCCATTCCCCTCTAAGCATATTGTTTAATGTATCGGGACATGATATTCGGATTTCTTCAGTAAATGGCAAACGCAAGAAATTGACGTTCCGTAAAATCCGAAGTGGGTAATATGACCGCGATACAAGTAGAAGTACAGCAACTAGACCGAAAGTAAAAACCGTTCTCTTTGACATGGCTTTAACCTGAAATCAAAGATAATCACATAAATCAACAAATGGTACACATTTGATGCCCGTCTTCATTTGTCCGATGGATGCAGGAAAGCATGACGTCAAGAATAGTTACAAAAACATACGTCTAGAAACAAGTATTGTGGAACAGGACCGTAGCTAGTCCAAAAATGTTGGGGGGGGGGGGTTGCAAGGGCTTCTGAGGGCACCAATGAGGCTTCTGGGGGCGCCGATGTACCTACACTTGACGGTCCATGGCGAACAGCACCGTGGTCGCACCACCCTAGGGTGCTCTCCCCAGAAAATTTTGCAAAATACGGTTTTGTACCTGATGAGAGGAATTATGTCAATGACAGAAAATTTCAATTTTGAGGCTGAATTTGCGATATTGGCGTATTATGATATTTTGATATGAACATTATAAAAATTTGAAGGAAGGAATATGATTTCACCGTACCTATAGTGATTTAAAAGAAAAACGAAAAGTTCGGAATCGGGTTAGAGTGCCATTTGTTTGAATTTTAAAGATTATCACGCCTGGTGCGAGCTTGAATCAATCTCACTCGGCATTATGTGCGAATATATAATCATGTATTGTCATTATGGGCACCCCACCAATCATGTCATTATGGGCGCCCCTCCGGAATAAGGCACCCCACATATCACGCCGTTTTGGGCGCCCCATCAATCAAGTTGTTATGGCAGCCTATAACTACCATTCTTAATTTCTACTTTTCGCCCCTTCAAAACATGAAAGTCGAAAAGTCGAAAAATAGAAGTTACGATAAAATGTGAGGCGACAGCATACTATACAAGCCAAAATC